CCAGCCTGAGCAAGAGTGAGACCCTGTCTCTACAAAAACTAGAAAATTGGGCGTGGTGGCACACGTCTGTAGTCCCAGCTACTTGGGAGGCTGAGGAAGGAGGATCACTTGAGCCCAGGAGTTCCAGGCTATAGTGTGCTATGATCACGCCTGTGAATAAACACTGCACTCCAGCCTGGGCAACAAAGTGAGATCCTGACTCTAAATAGAAAAAAAGGAGGAAGAAGGGGAATCAGCAGATAGACTAAGAAGGAATTGCCAGTGAAGACAAATGAAAACAAGGAGTATGTTGTGTCCCTGAGGCCCAGTAAAGCAATTATTTCAGAAGGAGGAAGTGATGAGCATGTCAAGTCCTACTTGATAGGGAGAGTAAGATGACTGAGAATTAACCATTCATTTGGCAATGTAAAGTCATTGGTGATCCTGACACAAGTAGTTCAAGGGGAGCGGTATGGGCAAAGCCTGGGCTTAGTGAGTTTAATAAAAAGTCACAAGAGAGGAACTGGAGCAGGTTCCTCTTTCAAGTTTTATGATAAAGGGAAGCAGAGCTGGGGCATAGCTAGAACCATCAAGAGAGGATTTCTTTTGCTTTAAAGATGGGAGAAATTAAGAGCATGTTTGTATGAAGGGTTTGCCCCAGCTGAAAAGGAAAACGCGATGGATATGGAGAAGAGGGATGGGATCTAGTACAAGTGGAAACAATCCACTCAGAAGCACAGATGATATCTACTAACAATCCTTTACAGTAGATCCCACTTTCTTCACATAGATAGGCAAGAAACCCTACACGTTCAGTTTTCCTGTTAAGAATTAAGAGTATTTAATGCTACTGTATCTCTGAAGGGAATAGGGAAAGAAGGAATAAAAATATTTCTATTTTATAGATAAGGAAAAGTTGAGATGGCTTATTAAAAATTATGCACTAAGCTCTTGGAAAACAATAACACACTTTGGAAAATGAAAGTTATTTGGTTTGGGGATAAAAATCTTAACTATTTCAAACATCCAACAACTTCCCAAAAAGGTAATTTTAACATTGCCTAAATTCATATCTTCATGTTCTTATATGTTTAAAACTCGGGTCTAGTGTCACATCAGTATCAGTTTTTTCCCTTAAACTCTATGGTTCTCCATCAGTTTTCTCAATCTTCTTTTAACCCATGTCCTTTTTTAAAAAACTGTATCTCACCCATCCTCTTCTCCCAACTCAGTTCCACTCGTGAGGCTCACTGGCCTTTATACCATCAGGCTGCTGCGAGTGCTGCACTCACATCTTTAAATCAACTTGCAGCATAAGAGAATCCCAACTGTCCCCTAACCATTATTGTTTTAGGCTCAGGAGAAGTTATATTCATGCTGATGTTTCAAGGAAAAGTTTAGTCTGAAAACTAGACTTAATTTTATTTTACAACTTAATGTAGGACATTCAATTTGTCACTTTTCTAACTGCATGCAATTATCTGGAACATACAATCACTTTTGACTAGCTTATAAAGGGCACTGATCATGTATATATGTATATTTTTAATCAAAATCTTACTGTGTATCATAATAAAGGTCAGAGATGATAAATTTAAGAATACAAAAATATTCACTTGGGTTTCAATGAACTATTAGTTTTCTGTATCTCAAGGTAAGTATAATCAGTTCTTTATTCTGTCCTGAAATTCAGTCTGTGAATAGAATGTGAGTACTGAAACATAATACCGTTTATTGGTCTAAGAGGTAGTGGCTCTAAAATTTCCGTGGGCCAAAGAAGTGCACGACTGCATTTAAAATGCATATTCCCACATAAATATCTGTACCCCCATAATATGCTGAAATAAAAAAAAAAAAAATGCATATTCCTAGAACCCACCCCCATATATTCTAATACAGTGGGATTGAAACAGTGCCCAGGAATCTGCATTTTTACAAGTACCCTCATGGAGGTGGCATCAATAAAGACTTAAAGGAGGTAAGGGAATAAGATATGACGTGCTAAAAAAAAAAAACTGTTCAAAGGGTTTCTCTGATGTTCTAATTTCAAGTCCCAGACTAGTTTAAACTATTTGTTAGATGATGAAATAGCCCACTGGGGAGAACCCTAGAGTGTTGGTCCACACATCCCTGGTTCTCAAATATTCCACTTCTGTAGTCACAGAAGCAGGACAGCCCTTGCTTGGGCTTGTATATAGATCTTGCAAGGCTGCAGAAGGGGCCTGTTGCGAGCCTTAGCCTGTGTAAAAATATCCACTTCATCTTTTGGTAGGGTGTGTCTTTCTCCTTATCAACCCAAATTTTCCAAAGACATCTGCAGGCTCCTATGTAAACTGCACCTCTCCAAAGGGTTGGCGATCACAGATGTAGCAACTGTTAAGCTCTTCCCCACCCTGACTTCATCCCTAATGCAATATTATATTAAATATCATTTATATATACCATTAAAGATCCTATCTCCCCTGTCAATTTACAGTACTATCTAGAAAGATTATGAAATGAGCCAGGACAACAGAAAACTTTTTTTTTTTTAATTGGAGAGGTGTTTTCTAATTGTAGATGCTGTGAAAATGGCAGGGGCGCCTCGAACTGCTTCTGAAGACAATTATATTTTATTTCCTTTGTGATTGATATTTTTTCTTTAAGAAAATGAAATGCAAGAAGGTAAAGTGACAACCCTGAAGCTCTTTGTCAAATTAAGAGGAGAAATTATTTTCTGTAACCCTCTCACCTATTACAGCATTGACCATTTATTGAGCACCTACTATGTATCATTCTAGAGTTGGATGGGAATAAACAAAAATAGGATATAGCTCTTGCCCTTGAAGGGACTTACATTCTTGCTGGGAAGATCAGACAAATACATCGAAAGGTAAAAAAGTTACACCACAAATGGTCACAAAAAGATGAAGAGGCTTAAACTGGGTCTCCAGATAAGCAGAGAGGAAGGAACTACAGAAAAGTCATGAAGCAAGAGTAAGCCTGGGTGAGGTATGTGGGTTACTGGGACAATTTAGTTGAGGTAAGTTAGTTCACCTAGAACGACAAAGTACAACATGGCAGCCAGAAGGAAAACTTGGAGCCATACTAAAGAGAACTTTGAATGTCAAGTCAAGGAGTTTGGAATCTGACTATAGATAAGTAAGAACAGTTGAAGAGTTTCACACAAAGCAGTATTTGGGAATATTGATGTGTTAGAGACATGTGGGATATGTGGGAGCAGAAAGTGCTTGGAGGCAGTTAGAAAGCTACCAGAAAAATCCAGATATCAGGTGATAGGGAGCCAGAGAGTAGGTAGCAGCATTAATTATTACTAGTTTCACAAAATACAACTCAATTGAGTTGTGCTACAGCTGTAGCATCAAGATTTTTCAGAGGATGCTATCAAAATGAAATTTGGGAGGTATGTGATATTTTTTAAATCTCTCAAGTAACTGATCATTTTTATGATACACAATATGAAGGGGAAAGGAATTTTATTGTTGTTTACATTTTATTTAAGAGGTTGTGACTTCTACAGTATTTCACTTTTCATGTCCAGTCAATGTGGCATTGTGCTTTCAAGTACTGCCCCAAAACTATGGCCTGATCATAGAGAAAAATCTAATTTCAAATCAATTCATTAATTCCAGGGAAATGAAAATCTTAGCTTAAATACTGGAAACTGCAAAAACTTGGCAGTGATGCTTTATGTGTTTCAGAACACCTATTGTTCAAAATGCTAATGGATGAGTTCCTAATTAGTCATCAAAGACAAGAGCACTTGGAAGTGAAACTGCCTATTTTATCAAAGTGCATTAACAGAGGAACAGTCTCTGAAGAAGTCAAGTTTGAATATCAAGATTTTAAATGAACAGAAAAAATACCCCTAATTTATTATAGATGAATGCCTGTGAATAAAGACAAATTGTTTAAACCTAATTTTTTTCTATTATGAATCTAATGTTTGCAAGGATGCTGACCATCTTAGACATATCCATGTGGAAACAGAGCACATTTTATCACCCCAGAGCCAGGCAGGCCTCCCTGCAATTTGATTCCTCTAGTTTCTTTAGGACTTACTTCTGGAAAACAGGTACCACATCCCTGAATTTTCATTCTGACCTGGTGTTTATAGCAACCACTGTGTGTGAGCCATTCATTGATGCTGTTGCCACCTTCTTTCCAGACTGAGGAAGATCTTTTTAAGAGGATGTGGCTAAATCAGTGCTTTTTTCCTAGTCTGTCTGGTCATGAATATGCATGACACTCAAGGTCACTAGTGGATCTTGAATATTGAGTACTCAATAAAACATGGACTCTGGACTGTTTCCATCCTCAGCACAACCCACACAAGGGAAAATGTTTCTTTGCCCTCTCCCTCCCCCCGTTTCTACAAAATCCTTGTTCCCTTGACTGATTTCCATAACTACAAGTTTGGAGATCAATGTGTTTTTGACCTTTCAACTTTCTGTTTCATGATTTAAGCACAAATTCCCCATAACTCAGATTTGCAACATGTAAAATACAGTTGTTAATTAATCCTTTGTCTTAAGGGATGTTACATATTGCCTTGGCATTTCTGGAAGATATGGAGCAAGACAAAGTTGGGCCCTAACATAGTGTATGTTAGGGCCTAAGAACACTGGGATGAATTAATAAGCTAAATGCCTAGGAAGTATAAAACTCACATCCATGTTAAATATGAACATGCTCAATATTATACTTAGGGAATGACTTCAAAGTGTAAGTTTTCGTTCTTACAAACATTTATTTTCCTCCAAATTTATTGTATTTTTCTGTAATGATGTGAAAAGTCTTCACTTCCCTTTTCACAAGTGTTGAGATTCAAAAAGCCAGGTCTTAACCATAGACTAATCTTCATCTCTTCAATGTCTTGTATGTTGATTTAGTTTCATATGTAAGTATTTATATTAGTTTTCCTTAGGGATTTATACATTGATATATATATATTCCTACACATATATATACAAGCTTTTTATCCTCATCTTACCACTTGACAATACAACTTTAAGTATGTTTTACACAGCTGTTCCTTGGTCAAGGTCATTTGCAAGAGCAAGTCGGTTTCTGAAGAAATCTTGTTTGGTGGGTGAAGGATCCATTGAGGGATTCTCATTAGTTTTTTCCCTGTATTCTGATCCACTGGACCTAAAATCTCAGCACACAGATAAAGTACAGGTTGATTTGGTTTTAATTGTTTTCAAATATTTTATCTATCCAAATTGTTTTGCATTTGTAAAACAGTTGCTTCCTAGATCTGGAATAATTTTTACTCCCTGAATTTCATGACTCAGGACATGGGTATCTAAGATTTGCAGCCAACATAAAAAGAATATCTTTCTAATGCTTTATGGGAACAATTGTGACAACTGTATATGTCAGTGCAAGATATTGTGTAATAACATCATAATGGGGAATAAAAGCTCAGATAATTCAAGAAATCCTATTTTTGATTCAATGAAGTAACAACTCCACAAATTACCAAGGCCTTTAAGCTAAAGTGGATGGAATTCATTGTTCTCAACCAAGGTTACCAAGGGCCTTTACTGAATTTGGCATTACATTACAAACTCTTGCTTTTGCTTGTTTTCATTTTTAAATGAAAGATTTATTGAAGCCGACCACACATATACGCTACATTTGGTAGAATGCAGAAATGAGTACAGTAATCAGATTTAGGAGATACTATAATCTCAACCACCACAAAGGAGACCAAGGCCAATCGATCGATAGTCAACAACTCAAATCAGTCCATTTGAGTCCCCAGTCGAGGGTGCATTCTTCCTTTATCTTGGTTAAGCCAGTTGGGTAATCCATTCCAGCTCTGCACCTTTTCCAGTTTGTTCAGAAGTCCCTGGAGGGAGGAGGCTTTCTGGAAATAACCTCTCATAAGCTAGACTGGGGCTTTGGCTAGCTTAAACTCTGAGCTAGAATGGGTAAAACTAGCCCAGACAATAGGAACCAATATCAAAAAACCTCATGCAGGATGTACGAAAGTGATGTTAGACATGAAGTTCTTTGTCCAAAGCTCCTACACAACTGAACAAGTTCTCCATATACTGAGGCTGAGTCAGATATGCTTCCACTAGCCACAAAAGAAGGATAAGCGGCCTCTAAGTTCTTTCACTGTACTTCTGGTACACCATTGAGTCCTAATTGTTGTTCGTGGATAAGTTATTTATGACTCTATCATTTACTGAATTAATTGGGCAGAATTCAAACATCCCTTTGCATTATTCAAGGAAAGAAGTTGGATCCACACAAAGACTAAAATCCTGATATCTGGAAACCTGATGACTGACTAGATATTTTCACCTTTCACCCTGATATTTGATATCACAGATGAAGCCACAGCTGCCCACCATGCTTTCTACTTCTGCTTGGTAAGGAGCACTTTTTCACTATATCCCAATGCAGAGAGGAAAAACTAATCTATCTCTCAACTCCAGTACATCTAGGTACGTATCAAACAAGATGACATTTGGGTGGGGTGAGGTTCTCTTCCTCTTCAGGAACCCCCCTGAACTCTCCCTTTGCAACAACCTCCACGTGCCCCACCCTAAAACTCTAGGCCTTCTCTCATCTCTCAGAACTCCCACCTACCTCAAGTTCAGATCACCCTGCTTAGTAAAATTGTCCCCAAAATGATAGGAAGATGTATTTTGACCACTATTCTTTCCCTATATCTTCTATTATTCGTAAGACTAGCTATGCCTGTAGTTTTAGGGACAGGAAGCAGAGAACAGTACTTGAATTGGGCTGCTGTTTCTTCTGAACTGTTCCCCCATGTGACAGTTTCTCATCAGAAAGTCATTAGTAAAAACTTGAAATCTTTACCTCACATTTCCCCTCTTAGCTACATCTGATCTCTCCAAAACCCAACATGTCACACTTTGATGGTTCCAACATGCAACTGTTTTAGTGTTTACCTGGAAATGGGAAAGCTTTGATGTCACCACCAGCCCCAAGGACCACAGAAATCTTCACCAGTTGCGTTCCCATTTCTGAAACAAATGCCAAAATCGCCCTGTCTAGTTTTCAAAGTCCACAAACTCAGCTTAATTTTTTTCTTTTTTAACTGCTCTTCTCACAAATGGTACCTTCCCTGTGTCTCCAATATCTAACTTTCTCTGCATTTCTTGATATTAATTAACTATTAATTATGTAATGGCTAACTTGCTAATCCTTTTTAAAATCCAGCATTCTACTGTAGCCATGACTAAAAGCTCATTTGATCCTCTTAAAGATAATTTGTAATGTTTACGTGGTATGTGGCCACCTGGACTCTTCCGAAGGCGTGGCTCTGAAGTAATGCATACCTAAATTACTAGAAAATAACCTGCAGAATCTAGGAGAAAGGGCCAGAGTGTTTGCTTTTATTCCCTTTCTCTATAAAACAGAAATGGCTGTTGAGTTCCTAGAGCCATTCTGGCTGACTGCAGGGCAGATTAGAGCAGACACTACAGGGACAGGCAGGCCCACGCTACGGAAGGCCACAGTGGCTGCCAGGACATTCTGACACACAGTCAATCCAAGCAATTGATAGAAAGAGGAAAACACAATAGACCTGTTGCTAACCTGCCTTCCACTCAAGTGACAGAGACAAAGAAAATAGCAAGTTGGGTAGGTCATACAAGTCTAGATTTGCTACAAATAAACCTTGAGAGCATGTCTGGAGCTGGGGATGGGCGAGGGGTGGAATCAGAATCCTCTGACTAAAGGGCTGGTTCTCTCATTGGAAAGACCATCCTCAAAAGCTTTAGGAATATGTATATATCTCAAGAAGTAAGGGAGCAGGGGAACACCCATCCTGTTGGCCAAACAAGTCAGCTTTGGTTATCAAATAAACAGCCCTGTGTGGCTCCACCTTTACTTCCACTCAGATAACACTTCAGATTTTAAATACAAAGGACAGTGCCAGTATTGGTGGCAACAATATGACTGATGCAGGAGGGACTGATCTATGAGAAAGGACAAGAGGACTAAGGGAATCCATTGGCCCCTCATCTAAGGAGAATCCCAAAAAGTTGGAAGAGGACTGAAAGCCAATAAGCATTCATTTAATCAATATTTGTTGAGTGCTTACAATGTGCTAAGTACTATACCTTGCAGCTAGGTTACCCTTACATTGAACTGTAAGCTCCTAATGGGCAGGAACTATCTCTTTTACTTCTTTTGTGCTGCACAGAACTTAGTACACTGAAGACCCTTAACTTAATAATTAAATGGCTTATTGAGAAACTTTGTAATCAGGGTTAAGTAATATAAAATGTTTATTCCTTCAACTATTCCCTTCAATTTTAAAGATATATAGGAAATGAAAAACGAGAAAGGATTACAAAGTGGGTAAGAATATGGGAGGGACTTGAGATGGGCTTTAAGGAGGTAGAGAAGAGGGTGAGGATAAAAGCATCAATTGATCCTTTAGCAGTCCTGCTCTCTACTACATGGCCTGTTCCACAGCCAAGGCTGGGCATTTACAAAACCACGTAAGAAGACACCAAAAGAAGAGGAGTCACTGATTTCAGTTACTGTATATGGGGCCCTGTAGAAGTACTCTCTCTCTGTGGGATGAAGAAAACAGCTTTTGATATGATTGGTGGAGGGAGGGTGATGATAGGGATGGAGACACTCTGAGGCATGTAAGTTATAAAGTGCTGAAGAGGAAGAGAATGGGTGAAGAAGTAGACTTAATCATGTGGAAGCCATATTCTTTATCTTCCACTCCCCCTAAATTTGAGGCTAAAAAGAGAGAGTACCGTCTACATTCCGTACTCCTAAATTATCTTATGTAATCCTCTTCCCCACTGCCATACCCCCAATCGAGAATACTCATTAACTTAAGTGTAAAACTTCTATATAAAGATGAAGTAGCATTTGCCTCAGAATAATCTAGGTTTAAGTCTTTGACAGCCTCCATATAGATCCTTCTGGAATGAGATAGCTTGCCTTCCATCCTGCTCAAAGGTAGGGGGGGTATTCAGTCCAGCATGAGCCTATCACATTAGGTCTGTTCCTGGCTTCTACAAATCCTCATTTAAAATGTTTAAAGTCACTTAACATTTTCAAACTTTAAGATATGTAGCCTTTATTCTGATCAATTCTGGGCAGCTTTCAGGGACATGTGACTTGGTATCCACCCGGGACAAATGTGCCTGAGATGGAAACAATCAGAAGGTCATCCTTTTCCCCAAATATCGTGGGCATTAATGATGTCAACTTGACTCTCCCTTTTGAATCCTTGTGGGTATGAGCATTCGGCCCTCCCAGCCTCAGAGGGAAGAGAACCCTTTCTCAGGTTTTCTGTTGCATCTGGCTCCATGCCTAGCTTCATCCCGAAGCAGCATTCTGGGTGTGTGGGGCCACCAGCCAAACAAGCCCCTATGGAACAAAAAGTGTGTCAGTGTAGACAGGAATGAGCCTCCAGAGGGCTATGGGGGAGGAAGGCAGTGAGTCCCAGACATGACACAGGTGGCTTTTCTGGCACTGGCCCATTTGGACCTGTGAGGCCAGGCTCTGGAATGGTTCCAGTACCTAGGATTAGCCACATCTTAAAGTCACAGGGCTTGCTGCCAGCCTGACCTCCTGGCATACAGGAGGAGAATGGGCTGAATGTCTCTTCTGGTTCCTTCCTATAATTGTTCACATGCTTAATTTCAGAGTGCAAGTTCCTCTGTAATGGCTGGGATCATGTCACTCACGACTCCTATTCAAGTGTCTTCTACAGGGCATGCATACAAGAAAGAATGCTTAATTAATGAGAAGAATGGTGTGTTCTCATCTGAATTAAAAGCCACTGGTCTTCCTGCACTACACTGAGGCCTCCCTACCCTTCCTCTCTACGTTATAATGGAGTAAACTTTCCAGGGTCCTCAGATGAAAATACTCAGGAGAAGCTACTTTAGGCTGCTTCTTTATCCCATGCCAAGTCCTCAAAGTGCCAAAAAGCCCACTGTGGCACCCTAAGCACGTGATGGTGCTGACTGTCCTAAGCCAGATCTAAAAAGCCAGGAAAGCCTGCCAGAGGGAGAGGCATCTGTGTGGCTCCACCTTTACTTCCACTCAGATAACACTTCAGATTTTAAATAAAAAGGACAGTGCCAGTATTGGTGGCAGCAATATGATTGATGCAGGAGGGACTGATCTATCAGAAAGGACAAGAGGACTAAGGGAATTCATTGGCCCTTCATCTAAGGAGAATCCCAAAAAGTTGGAAGAGTACTGACAGCAATTAACAAACATGGATTTGGAAATCCCACAGCAAGTCCTCTACCTTAAACCACGGCGTGTGGGGGGATACAGAAAGATAAAACCTAGTCCTCTACATAGTGGGTCTTTAAAATTATAGGTTCCAAGGCTATACTAATTTCTTATTTCAGGTGATAAAAATACGTGATTACTCGAATTGAGCTACAACAAAGTGAAACTATAGATAAAGCAAATCTCCACACTAGAAAGGCTTCTGGTGATTTCTTAAGCCATCTCCCACCCAGTGCAGGGAGTACTATCCCTGACCAGAGTCATCTAGCTTCAACTTAAGAGAACCCACTCCCTCATGAGGGAGCCAACTCCAGTTCCAGGCAGCTACATTTCTAGCATATTCTTCCTCTTATCTATTGCCCCTAGTTCTGCCCTCTGGATCCACAAAGGACAAATAAATCTACTCCCTCTGCTTCATGCCACTGGCGGAGCATTTTCCTGGATCTATTGCTCATTGTTTTCCAACTGACAGCACCCAGTCAATATAAATGGTAGTGGGCAAAAAGTGGTGTTTTGTTTTCGGAATATTGTAGTTTAAAAAAAAAAAAGAATGAAAGAAAGAAAAAGAAAAGGGCTCAAGCAGTCCCCTTAGGAGTCTGGAGTCCTTAGAAGGAACTAGGAGCCTAAATGTCAAGGCTGGAGACTTGTCTGCTTCCAGGTCCTCCCACCCATGTCAAACTTGACAGAGGCAGGCATTGGGCCAAGAAAAATCTAAGTCTGTGATCCTATAGAGAGGTTATATAATTCTTAACTCCTGAATCCCTGAATAAAGGTGGTTTGGGGATCCAGCAACAGTCATGCACGCGTGCACTGGGTTGCCTTAGCAAAACTGCAGGGCACTGAAGAAGGGCTGTGACTAAGTACAGAACTGGTACTCTTCCCTCCTCTTCCCCCTTGTCCAGTAACAACAGGCAGACGCCAACAATAAGAGACCCTCTCATCCCAGTACCACCCTCCCCATGGGAGGAGAATTAGACAAACCATAAAAAGAAAGTCCTGCTCCAGGCCTAACCCCAATTCTTCCATCAAAACCATTATCTAAATCAGCCAGTAACCCCTACCTTCAAGGAGAAAGTGATTTCCCTGTGTTCCCTCACTCACTAGCAACTCTCCGAAGGCAGCAATAATGCCTTTATCTTTTCCGCTCACTAAAATATGAAGACTTGCTGTTTAAAACTCACTGCAAGAACCTCCTCTACCAAAAGAAACTAAGCAGCAATGAAAATCTCTCTAAGGGGGAGGAAGGTAGGCCTAAGGACCAGTGGACACAGAAACAGCATCTCTCAGGCAGGCAATGGCTAAACTGGTGAATCCCTCTAAGGTCAAACATTAATGCTCACTTCTTCTCTCTTCCTGACATTTTACTTTGGGGTTTGGCCACTGACTCCCAGACTGGAAAACAGTGCTGGCCAAAATTCCTGGTGGGTAATGTTTCATATGACAACAATGACCTAGACTCTCAGAAGGACCACAGAAAGAAAATGCCTTGGTTTTGCCTCCTATAGAATATGGAAACTCCATTAAAGTGACTCTTAACTAGGGCCCAAGCCAAATCCATTTACTCAGGAAAAACCCTAGCAGAGGTCCCAATAAACATAAACTAGCACCCAAGATAATGATAGGTCCCTAAAGGCAGAAGTGCTGAGATGCCCTTAGAAAACTTTCCACAGGTGGGAGATTCTGAAGGAGCACCCATTACACCCAATTACAATAGTGGATCCCACTCCTCCCAGTCTAAAAGGGCTTTGATTGTCACCAGCTTGTGTCCCAGGGAACCTCCTCTACTTACTCCTCTCAGGACACATGATCTTTGGAAAAAGGAAGGAGGGATTAAAGACCGAAGAAGCAGGGGAGAAGGCTGAGTTTGCTTCTACTTTGGGAGACACCAGTGAGAAATATCTTCACCCCGCAGGAATCGTGGCTACTGGGAGCAAGCACTGAACTTGAAGCAGTTGTGTGAGACCAGGCTACTTGATACTTATTACTGTTAAAACCTCAAGACTTAGCCCAAAGGGAAATGAGTTACAATGCTGTCTTGTCTAAGGGCTACTCACTTCTTTTTAAAGAGCTTGCGGAAGGAGCTGCGAAAGCCCCCTTTCTGGTCTTGCCTGGGATTTTGATCGCTGAAAGATGTCTGTTCACTTTCTCGTTCTTCCTTTGGACAAAATCTGGTGGTGTCTTCTAAATGCATCTCCTGAAAACACAAAAGAAGGATTTTTTAAACTCTTTTCCAAAGTTATTATCTATCCTGACTGTGGGACAATTTTTTTGCCTTGTCACTTTCCTCTCCCACCCTAAAAGACTACCAATAGGCACTATATCCCAACTAAAACAAACCTACGCTAATGAAAAAATCGGGAGGTGGGAAGAGGGTAATTCTCTACTGAGCATATTTTCTATGCATCAAATAGTCTAGAGTAGAATATGATATAACTAATTAAAAATACGGAAATAAAAAAATTTAGCTAATGTTTTAAAAGTATAGAAATTAAATTCTTATTTTGGCCACCAACACTGTCTTGCTAGAAAACCAGTAGTAATTCCCTCCAATCTCTGAGTGTTTCTCTTTCTAGAAAATAAGAAAGTTCCTTAATTGTAATACTAGTTTTAAACTCGTGTTCCTAACTCTCCATTTTAGAAAGAAAAGAGAGGAGTTTTTGAGAGGTCAGACCTGCTTAGAAGTAAATGTTAACTAATATTTCCAACCTGCAAATATGCCTTTAATACAACTTTTACAATTTTTTACCCATGCTATTTGGAATATAAAGTAAAATGAACTAAAAATAAGGCTGTATCTTTTGTGAACTCTTTAGTTTCTTTTTAAATGTGAGATGTGCTAAATAGTAGATGTGTATATAATTTATATGCATACAAGCTAGATATGCATATATATATTTACATTCTATACAAACAAAATATGTACCTGAGGTAACTGTAATTTAAAACCTAAAAATAGCTGCTTAATTTTGAATAACCTTAAAAGAAGCCAAGAAGTCAAAGCAAAAACCATACCAATGATGCCATGAAAGTTTCATGAATGAGAAGGGTGACTGCCTCCTGATAGAGAAGCATGAGGATGAATTTTTTTCAGGAAACATATGGGTTTGACTTTGAGAACTTAACTTGGGTTGTAGTAGCAGATCTAGAAATTCTCCGAGATTCTACCAAGATTGATAATTAAACCATAAAGATCAACAACATCCTGATGGCTTAGTGCAGTATTTCCCAAAGTGGGGTTCTGGGTTTACAGGACCAGCTGAGGCCTCTATTTAAAATGTAGATTCCTGAGCCCCAGCCCCGATTTTCTGAATCAGAGTCTCTGGAGTTAGGCCTAGGTACTCACTCCTTCTGCACACTTAGGTTTGAAAACCAGTGGCTTAAGGCATGCTTCTGCCCCCATGCACATAATGTTTGTATGAGTCACCTGGGAATCTTCCTAAATTCTGATTCAGTAGGTCTGGAGTACAAATTCTGCATTTATAACAAGTTCCCAGGTAATGCATTCGCTACTAGCCCAAGGTCCACATTTTGAGAAGTGGGCTTTTAAGAAATTACTTAGTGACTAAATCTATCGATGATATCGCACATTTGTACTGTAAAGTAAAACATATTTCACGAACATTATCTTATTTGGCCTGATCCTCACAACAACCCTCTGAGGTAGGTAAAGTGTACATGTATATATATTGTCTTATTTTTGTAGATGAGAAAACTGGAGACACAGAGAAGCCAAATGAAGTGTCCAAAAGCACAGAACTGTTGGGCAGTGGAGCCAGGACTAGAACCTAGATCTCCTGACACCTCAGGTGCTCTTCACACTAAAGCATACTGCCTTCTTAATCTTGACTCTTAAGAGAACACGAAGGACTATGCCTTCCTTAGCTACCTCTGCTGGGCAGGGGTGGAACATTCAGAGTACATTGGAAGAGAGGGAACAGAAGGAGGTTTGCATATCTCAACAGCAAAGAGCTGACACCTTTAAGGATAGGACTTTTGAAGGGTTATCTCTTGCAACTATCACGTCAGAGCTAGCACGTTACTCTCTGCTTAATCAGAAACTGCCTTTATTCCAATCGCACACAGGGAATTAAGTATTTGCTCAGGAACTGTTTGCCCTTTGGTGGATCCGTGTTTAAACACCTCTTTGAATGCCCCCAAGGCTTGCAGACGCCAAGGTTAGACATCAAAATACCTCAAGATTCATAGAGGCCAAAGAAGATGTTTTTGAGTCAATGCTTCTTTGACTATTTGGGATGCCCCTGTCCCACTGGAGTTCGCAAATTAATGTGACACCTTTTTCCAGTCAAAAGGAAAGCGAGCAGAAATGAAGCAAACTTCCTAGGCAGTCTACATTGAGATAGGGCAACTAGTCTCCTCCCTGGCTACAAATAAGAATCGTGGGGGTACCACGTTCACTACTCTGAACATTTAAAGGAGGGGCACCTAACAGAAGAAACAGGCCTAGGACTTGCATACAGAATTTTATAAAAAGGCCAACTTCGAGGTGCCACAAGCCTAAGCAGGAAGGGACCCCTCCCTAACTCCTTAAGTGTGTGTGTGACGAAGCAGGTGTAAAAATGGGTCGAGGCCTTCTCTGCTACCTCTTTGCCCTCACACATGGACATCCGTGGCATGCCCAGCTGCCCTGGTAGTGGAGAACGGGCGCTGGCACTCGCCTTCAAGGGCCACGAGCCACGCGTCGGCCGCGCCCCGCCTCCCCCGACTGCCTGGCCTGGGCCTGCCCACTCCCCTCCACGCTAAGTGAGCTCGGGCTGCTCCCTGCAGACCTAGGCCCGCGGCCGCCGCGCTGTGGGTTTCGGTTCGGTTTTACTTTACCCTCCTTACTTCCAAATAGGTCTGTTTTTCGCTTTGGGACCTCTGTTGGGGGAAGAAGGTCCGGGGCGCGCCGCGAGCGGCGGCGGCAGCGGCGGCCGGACCGTGGGGCTGCGCGGCGCGCTCGGCCTTGAGCGGCGCGCGGCCGCCGCTGCTGCTGCGCGTGCTGTAGAGGCGCGGGGCCACGCCCTCGGCGGGCGGCGCGCGCGGGAACTCCTTGAGCGAGCGGCTCAGCGGCTTGGCCTTGCCGTGCGCCTGCGCCTGCGCCGCCGCCTCCAGCTTGTAGGCGCCGCTGCTGCCCGCCGGCGACGTGGCGCTCTTGGGCAGTGGCTGCAGCGGGTGCTCGGGCCGCTCGGCCTCCATGGCGAAGCTGACGGGCCGTAGGAAGCAGATGTCCAGGCTGGACTCCGAAGAGGCGGGCGAGCAGTTCTCGAAGAGGGCTGGGGCCTGGAAGGGCTCCTCGTCGTAGGGCGCGGGCAGCGCGAAGATCTCGCCGCCATACTCGAACTCCTCGTAGGCCGCGGGCACGAAGCCGCGGGCGTCGGGCAGGAGCTCGGCCGGGGCGCGCAGGGAGCGCTCCACATTGCCCAGCGGCTCGGCCGGAGAGGGCTCGAAGTCCATCTCCGGGATGGCCTGCAGGGGCCCGGCGAGCGCCTTCACGTCCTGCTCGGCCGCACAGAACTGCGCCGGCGCCAGGAGGCTCTCGGGCCTCTCGTGCTTCCGGCCCTCGATCTCCCAGTCACTGGGCTTCCCGGGCTGCATGCTCTCCATCAAGCTTTGCTGCTGTTGGCTTTTCTTCACTGGGGGCATCAAGTGTCTTTAAAGGGGAAACAGAATACAAAAGAGGTGTGCTTAAGGTGTGGTAGTGCAGGCCTCTCACCCAGCAGCGTGAGGCCCGGACCAACACACACATCCCGGCTGCTCCTCTCCTGTCTGCCCCTCCCAGGCGCCTGCGTGTGTAATCTACCAAGCTCCCCAGACTTCGACTGAGCAGTTCCCACGAACCCCTGTGCCCAAGTGGGAGAGTGGAAATGGTGGTCCCTAAAGCGGATGCCCGAAAGGATCCGTCTGAGGTTCTTGTAGGCAAGGCAGCAGTGCGCAGAGATGGCTGGTGGGCCAAAGACTCTCGCTTCTACCCCTGTGGAAGCTCTGACCCTCCTCACCACCTGTCAGTGTCCCGAAGTACCTCTTTTCAACACTCGTCTCTCCCTTGCTTGCCCTAGCAGAGTCATCTAAAATAATGGAAACTCAACTTCTGTTCCACCTGTGGATCTTCACACTTTAAAACAATACATTCTTAGATGACGTAAATGTGGCATGATCTTGATAACTGTTGACTCCGGATGAGGGTAAATGGGGTTCACTGTACTCTTCTGTGTAAATTTGAAATTTTCATAATAAATTTTCAAAAATATACCATGTGGCTATGAAGCATGCTATGTAAGTCATCTCAAACTTCCACCCACAAAGTATTACTAAAAAGTAAAAGCTACCACGCTGTATATGCCCAATTTCATGGAGGGTTTTTGTTTTTTGGAATCATGGATAACAAATAATTTACATAGGTTGCAAACCAGGATAGCATACCGTCAGATGGGATGTGATTTTCCAATTGTGCTGGACCTTAGTTGCCAGACAGATATAAATGGACACCGACTGAAAATGGTTATTCTGCTAGTTCATGTATTCATATTTTTTGAACGAACAGCTGATTTATATGTATTCATATTTTAATTCTGCCACAAAAACGCAAAAAATTCTGCCATAAAGAATGCAAATGTAAACACTAACACTGAGTATCTTACCCTGGTGGTCTTAAAATGAAACTAGATCTTACATTTACAGATGTGAAAAGAAACAGTGAAACAAAATATTGATCTGACTCAATTCTCTTTTAACTAAAAAGATTGTGGTTGGATTTTATTTTCCCTGCACAGAGTGCAATGACAGCCATACTGTTTGGTCTGGATAACCTCTAGGTATTTAATTTTTTGGCTCTATTTGTAGCACTTCAAAGAAGATAAAATTTTGTCACTCTCAAGAGTCGAAGTGATCCACAAAGTAAATATCCATTTTCTTCCTCTTCCCACTCTCTGGGCGTGCCCTTTACCATTAGTGCCTTCTTCTGGGGTCCAAGCATGTGGTCATCTGCTTGGCTGGCACATACAGGCCTGATGAGGCAGTGGGGAAGGAGGAGTCCCATAGATAATACTCCTAATCCAGACTGGCTTGCTAACTCACACATACTGTGCTGGGACCCAAGGGCATTGCTATTAACCTTTCCACAGCAACAGGTGCTTACGTGACAGCAGGGCCAGAACTGGGAGCAGAAGGGTATGGTTGCAGCATCTCTTCTGAGTGGATCCCACTGTCACGGACAGCCTCAGGGCCTGCAGTGGGGGAAGCATCTTGCCCGGCATTTGCACACTGAGAAGCCAGCCCTTTGTACAGCTTTGCCATGGATGACCTAACAGAATGAAAGTAGTAACTCTCAGGTTGTACAGTGGGAAACTGGTTCTCTGAAGACACAGATTATGCCAAGAAAGATAGACAGATATCTCTCAGATGAAGCTTGCTGTCTATCTCCAGGGCCCTCTAAACCAAGTTGCTTACATAATAGGGTGCAAGCTGGTTATTGGGCAGGAGTAGGGAAGCCGATTAACTGGCTGAAAAGAGCCCCGGGGGAAGGGAGCGGTGGAGAGATATCTTCTAATTAGAGGAGCCCTGGCTTGGGAGATAGCATCTTTTTTTGGTCGGAAGCACCCACAGAAATGATTCTGTTTTCCTCCATGTGAGTTGGGATGAGGTTGAAGTAAATCCACATCATTAGGAAGCTCTGCTATGGGTTGCTTCTGATCCCTCTGAAACCCAGATTCCCCTTAGTCAACCCTTCTTGTTTCTTCGTAGGGTGAAAACTATTCAAAATTCCCCTCCCTAACTTGCTTTATTTTTATCCATATCACATACCACGATCTAACTTTTTATTTGCTCACCATCCAACTGTAAAAAGTAAGCTCTGTGTGGCAGGGATATCGGGCTGTTTTGTTCATTTCAGTATATTCAGTATGTAGAACAGTGCCTAACGCACGATAGATGCTCAAGAAATATTTGTTGAATCAATTGATTTGTTGAATCAATCAATCATATTCAGGCCTTTAAACTATAATTTTGAACCACGCAAGTTTAGGGAAATTGAACTATTTTTGAGGTGATTAGCAACATAAGAGGGGGTCTACACAGGCAGTAGGATGAAAGTGCTTTTTTTCTAAAGTAATTTCCACCAGGTAGTAGGTGTCTTCCTCCTGTAGCCAGCCTGGCCACCTCTCTTCCCTTCTCTTCTCTTTTCCCTTCCACCTCCCATCACTGCATTTCAGCCACTTAACACACAATGTGGTCACTTGTGACAAACACCCAGTGACTGGTCTATATTCCTATTCTCAGAAGCCTTTGATCAAGCCCCTCTAGACTGCACCATCAGAACCTTACTTCTTGAGCTTTTTCCGTTTCTGAATAAGCAACTCCTCATTGCATTGAAACAGCAGGGTGTAGTGTGAGATAAACACCCGGAGGCGCTGAACACACACCAGTAGCAGGTAATAGTCAGGGTGTTCCTGTTCTGTGAACTTCAGGACATTCTGGATGGAGGAAAAAAGGAAGCAGCATTTTGTAATTAGAAAGAAAATTTGTTTTTGTCTCTTCTGAACCTTACCTTGATCTGTTGTGAGAGTTTGGTAGCTATTTAATCAAAACAACTAGCAACATTACATATAGCCTATCTAATTATAAGCTAAAGATCAAACTTGCTACTCTCTGTCCCTCCATCACACCAAGGGAAAATAAGTCACTATTGTTCCTATTTGAGTTGGATGTGAACATAAAATAATTTCACTTGAAAATTTAGAAAAATCTACTAATTAGATCTCTGAAGTAATGGAGGCATTCTAATAATCGCTGTCTGTAAGCAATGCCTTGACTCAAATGAGTCAGACTAATGATGAGAACATCAGACATCAAGGCAGGCTGGGGAGGGGGGATGTTTATGATCAAGCCTGGTAGCCCCTGCTATTATTATACGTTGCCTGCTGTGCTATAGTGGAACATGCGTGCAACTTGGATTTGGGAAAGCTAATGGTCATTGAGTACTTCCTATTCCTAGGCACTGAGCCCTTTACATATATTATCTCATTTTGTTTTTGCCACAACCTAATTAAATAGGTACAATTATTACCACCATTTAACAAATAAGGAATTCAAGGCACAGAGAAGTTAAGTGATCATAATTAGGTCACGATTTAGTGAACAATAGAATTGTTCTCAATTAAACTCAAGTCAGACAGTAGAACCAGGGCTTATTTACCACATTCTACTGCTTGCAAGACCAGGCTTTCATCCTAGTTTTTTCACCTACTAGGTGTGTTAACTTGGGCAAATTGCTTAACTTCTTTGGCCCTCCATTTTCTCATAAAAATGATAACAATTATATCCTATTTCATGGGATTGTTGAAAGGATTAAATAAGATAATTATTGTGAGAAAAGTGCTTTTATGGTCTAAAGACACAGAAGTCTTTTTTTTTTTTTTTAGACAGAGTCTCGCTCTGTCACCCGGGTAAAGTGCAGTGGTGTCATTGTAGCTCACTGCAACTCAAACTCCTGCACTCAAGTGATCCTCTTGCCTCAGCCTCCCTGCTAATTTTTCTATTTTTAGTAGAGACAGAATCTCACTCTTTCAGGCTGGCCTCAAGCGATCCGCAGGCCTCCCAGTGCTAGGATTACAGGCGTGAGCCACCATGCCCGGCCTAGAAGTCTTTTTAACATTGATACTGGGTGGGAAGGAGATGAAGGGGAAAATATATATATATAAATGTACTTATAACCACTGAACTGTACATTGAAAATGGTAAAGATGGTAAATTATATATGTATGTTTTACCTCAATAAAAAATAAATTTAAAAAATATTGATACCGGGCTACTTCTACCTGAGATTAATCCCCAGATGCTTTCACTGAATTACTTAAGATGCTTTCACTGAATTACTTAAGATGCTTTCACTGAATTACTTAAGAAGATCAGTCAGCAATTAAACCAGAACAGGTGGGTGGCGGGAAGAAGAGGGGCTGGTGGGGGTTGGTGAGTCTCTCCTTCAACTCTACTTCCTCCAAGACGCTACGAGCCCTGTGAGAAAAGGGTGTGAAAAAGTCAGCTCATCAGCTCCTTCATGCCTCTTCTGTGACAGAAAGCATAAGCATTATATATGGTAGAACCTTGGACCCCAGCCAAAAGAAAGCAGTCAGGATAACAGTTAAGTGGGCAGGTTAGATAGATATTTAGATGCCAGGGGGGCGGCGTTTAGATGGCTGTAGAACCAAAGAGAAAGGGACTGAGTAAGGTGCTCAGGATCTAGCAAGAGTGGTTATAGAAAGATCCTGGATCAGTGGAGCTGGAAATTGCTGGTAAATAAAGATAGAACTTCAAAGGTAGGCATAAGGAGCACATTTTTGGAAATAGAAACTTTAGCTCATCCCACAGGGTATGATGGCGTTGGGAGTAACCACAACAATCTAAGCCACGTAAACACTTCTTAGAAATATTAATGATTTCTTGAGCCTTTGAAATATTAATGATTCCTAGAAGCCCAAAAACAATAGTTTAGCATGAAAACAAATTCAGTGGCTTACCCAGCCATGCCTACCTGCAGATGAATCAGATATTCAGGGATGCGCTGGACTATGTGAAAAAACAGCGTATAGATGTCAGATTTAATCTCTTCATCGCCCTGCATGAAAGAAAGGTGGAGTCACTCTTCAATATCCCTCCAGCTCTGGCAGCAGAACCCCAGAGTCTGTCCTATGAGAGTAGGAAGTGTATACTCCCAAAGTATTTTCTTCCCAGAGATTGTCATGAAGCATTGATCTCTCATCAGAGAGGCCACATATTCAGGGACATGCCCAAGGAGACAACTCTTCTCCAGCAAGGAGCATATCATATACTTCTTTTGAATCCTCCCAGATTTCCAAAGTACCCTCTCCTTCTCCTCATCTTAGTACAGTGCTGGACAGAAGAAGGCACTCAATACATTGTATTTGAGTTGAATGAATTCATTAAGGTTCTCCAACAGGTAATCATTACAATGGTTTACTAATACACTCTATGGGTGGATTGGAACCTCATGAGAGTGGGGAAGGGAGTGTAATTAGAAACTAGCCAATTGGCCAGGCAGCACAAAACATGTGGGACTTTCTCCAAATCCTTTTCCTTTCCTTCTCTTCCTTTCTCTTTCCCAGATATTTGCTGAATGCTAACATGTGTTAGGCATTATACTGGGTTGGGGTGGTGGGGCATTGAAGTAGAATGTTAGTAAGATAGAGCCCCTTATCTCTTGTGAAACTTGATTAACTCTCAGCTTTGGGGCTTCTGATAGTCTTTTCTCCAACTGACCTAAAATAACTAAATTTGTTACATATGTATATGTGCTTATTGAGCACCTAATATGTCACGGCAGTAGCAATCTTAAAGCAACATGACTAGAGCCACCTTATGATCTTATAAAATCACAAAGGATGACTTGATTTTCATATTCAGATTCATACCCTCTGAACCAGAAAAAAAAACCACCACACATAGCACGCAAGCTGCAGCCTGAAGATCTCTGCATAGAACACCCATTTAGTTTGCCCATGGTTCCAGTGGAATGGAATAAAGGGTCAGTAAGGCAGGGCAAGGACAAATGCAATGGCAGTGATCTTTGAGTGGGCTCCTTTAACCCCAGGTAGGAGTGTCAGTGGTTCTGTTCAGGCCATTCCCTAGCCTAGAACACAAGTTCAGAGTATATATATTGACTGGGTGGATGAGCAACACCATAAGGATAACATGTGCATACAAAGGACAGCACATACATAGAGTTAACGTACCTCCTTCAGAACAACCACATGGACCAATGAGATGCACTCAGGCAGGTCCCTCAGATAGGCAACATAATAATCCAAGAAATTATTCTTAAAAACAAACACAAAAATGCATGGTAAGAACCTGAAAACAGGAATGGTAATATTTTTATAGAACAATATATATCAAAAAAAGGACTTTGCAAAGTTTATCTTATTCATTTAATATGTCCTTTATTTAATATCTTTCGGAGTTTTTATTCATCTTTTTAAAAAATATTTTTGGGCTGGACAAGGTGGCTCACACCTGTAAATCCAGTACTTTGGGAGGCCAAGGCAGAAGGATTGCTTGAGGCAAAGAGTTCGAGACCAACCTGTGCAAGATGGCAAGATCCCATCTCTACAAAAAAATTTAAAATATTAGCTGGGTGTAGTGGCACACGCCTATAGTCCCAACAACTCGGGAGGCTAGGGCAGTAGGATCACTTGAGACCAGTAATCCAAGGACGCAGTGTGATATGATTGTGCTGCTGCATTCCAGCCTGGGCGAGAGAGTAAGACTCTGTCCCTTAAAAAAAAATCATTTTGGTTTTAAGGTAAACATCCCTACAGCTTTAGAATCAAAATTCAATAGCCCTGCTTTAAGGAGAGAAAGTGAAATAATAAACCAGGGTATCACATAAATCGAAAAAGTATTTTTCAATTGTGAAACAATAAAAGTGCATATTTTGTTTTTTGTAATTCCTTTTCATTTCAATCATCTACATCCAAATGAGGGACTTTGCCCAATCTACCTTATATATCTAGACCAGTGATTCTCACACTTTCTGCTAATTGCATCTTTCTACTAATTGCCTATTCACCTATACACTATCCCCTGAGGAAAATAATTCTCAGCTTCCAAAATTATATTCCCACAGATATAATAATTCTCAGCTCAAAAAAGCATACTGAACACGAATGAGTAAAGTGGCATTACATCCACTCTAATCTATACAAGTAAACAATTTGTAAACTTTATACCTACAGGTGAGAATCATTGGTATACAGAAACTGATTGCTGGCAAAATCTGGCAGCCAGGCCAATTTTAATTAGCCCATGCAATATTTTAAAAATAAGAAAATTCCAGATGTCCAGCTTTTATTAAAATATCAGAAGGTCTAGCAACTCTACTCCTTTTCTCCTGCAAAATAACTGAATAAAGCTGAGGAGCTATTCCTTGTAGAACAACACATGTTGTACCACCTCAGCACGCTTTCTGCCAGTCCATATTACTTTCACTTCACTCATTTATGTCACTGGCCCTGTAGGCATTTGAGTTTGCAACTTCTGGCTTGGATCATATTGTCTTTGTAGATCACCATAAAGATTTAAAACTTAGCACACTTTCTCCAAAAAGTGAAAACAAAAAATATTCAAGACAATGGCCACCCATCACATTTTTAAAAATCTCCAAGGAATGAAAATTGAGTGTGAAATACATACATATGTACAAATCCTCATATATTTATATGTATACATGTGCAGTGTGTGTGTATACATACAAATACATATACAAACACATGTATATACCTATACACATACACACGCATATTCAATAGAGGCAGTTATAGTACAGTAGGAAGTTATAACTAGAAGACCTAACAGGGTTCTAGTCACAGATCTCTGACTACCTAGCTAGATGGGTGTTTTCAGCAAGGTTTTTTAATCTCTCCAAACCTTATTCCATTATCTGTCTGGAGAATGAGGAAGTTAGACTAGATCTCAGTGGTTCCTGTAGCTCTGAAATTCACTGATTCTAGATTCTCTGTTAAAAGAAGTAGACAAATGAGACACAGATCCATATAATTTAAGTTTATGGGCAGGGTGGGGAGCAACTTACCTCATCATTTGTTAATTTAAGGAATAAATCTCCAAGAACTCCTTGGCGCGGCCACTTGAGGACCCTTTCCTGCAGTGCATGAAGCAAATCCAGGTGCTGCTGGACAAGGTACCGTAAAGAGCCAGGGAAGAGGCTTGAAACAGAATGGAGACAGAATCACACAAACCAGGTGTGGAGAAGAACAGAACCTACGTGAATACGTGCAGCAGGTGCCATTTTTCCAGCCATCCAGCACACTGTTACGCGTCTGTATTTGGATTTTTTAAAAGTTTGTCGTTGTAGACCTCGCAGCATTGTAGACCTCCTCAGACTATACAAAGACCCCTTTACCAATGGTCCCTATACAAATATATACTGAGCTACAAAAGAGCACATCATTTGAATGACCTTTTAAAACTAACCTGATACACTCTCATTTATGTGACACACAGCGGAAATTCTAAGGGATATCTTTTTCAGTGTTTTAAAGTTATTTCCATTTGATGTGCAGAATCGTGTATTCTGATTAGTGCTGTAGATGACAGCACTAAGGTGGCACTTGGTCATTCTTAGCTACTGGGTGGGAGACTGCCACTTAGGTAAGTAGGAAAATTTGTTTAAAGCTGGTAACTAAAAGCTCAGGGAGTTGGGGGTTATGAGAGTGTCTCTTGTCCCTTTCCTTCCGTTTCTAAGAGGAATCCCGGGCAAAGACAGAACCTTTCCTGGGGAGGCTACTGGCCAGGCCTGGCCTGCTACTCCCTAGAGTTTCACAGAGCACCTTTCCCACCCTCCATCCCTCTCCTCCAGCTCTCAATGCGCCTCATTTTTTCAGAGAAAACGAACGGAGGAAGAGAGAAGTCACAGAAGGGTGGGGTGGAGAGGGAAGAGAGTCATGGGAGGAAGAGGAAGGGGAATTGGATGGAGAGAGTGAGGTGACCACAGGCCTATAGGAATGAGGAAGGAATAAACAGAAAGAAATGGAGTTTTCTGGGCTATAGCAAGGATTTGAGCTCTAGCTTCATAATTTAGGGGAACTGAAGGTAGGTGCTCTTGTGCTTTCAACACACAAGTATAACAAAGATAAAAGAGTTGGCCTGCTTGTCACCGAGAGCTGAATTTATTTAACTATTTCCTCTGGGTCTAATGAGAACAAATTGGGGGGCAATTGGGGCGCTTTGTCAACAAGCAGACCTTTGTTGGAACAGCAGGAAGGACACCAGATTGAGAGGAGGTTTTCTTCAACTCATTTCCAAGCAAAGCAAAATCTCCCCTGTGACTTTAGTGCAGAGAACACACACAAATACCAGGATAGAGTACACGGCCCCCTACAAAAAGCTGCAAGGAAATCTGCCACTCCCATCTTCCGCTCCCTCTGCCTCCTGTGCCCAGAGACTCCGGGTATGCGAAGCCGTAAGCCAAGAGGAGAGGCCTCCTGATCCGAACTCTTGCAGATGGAGCAGTGGGCTTAGAAGATCTAAGTAACCTCTGTCCAGATCAGAGGGGGATTTGGAGGGGTGGCCAGGAGACAGACTGACGGGGAGAAGACCATAAACCTGATGGAGGAAAGTGCAACTGAAAGAGCAAGACGCTGCAGCAGCAAAAGATTTCCCCCACGCAGAGGCTATAAATGACTTTGGGTAATATTCCTGGTGTGACACTGAAAGATGTTAGGGTGCCATGGCAAGATCTGACTTTGCGACGAGTGTCCATATCGGTGTGTAATATGTCTTGGATTATCGCTTCTCTTTCTCTTTCTTTTCTTTCCTTCCTTCTTTCCTCTCTCTCTCTTTCGTTCTTTCCCCCTTCTTTCTAGAAAGCCACCTTCTACTACACTGTGACCAAGGTACTTGGAGAGTTGGAGAGCTGGCACCAGCATCCTCCCGGACTGTCCACCGGGGTAATTGTTTTAGATTTCAGGGCGGGGTCGGAAAAGGCTGATCAAGCATTGTGGGAGCACATAAGTGAAAAGCAATGACCTACAGTGGGTTCTGTACCAAACATTGAAAACAAGCTTTAAACATTAATAAAAGTTTAACAAGGATATTATTTGAACTTGAGGAGGAGTACGAAATCAAGAGACGGAGAGCAGAGGGAGAAAGAAGGCAAGAAGTATAAATACACTTGACTTATTTCGCTCCTTTGCGTAGCACCAGATCTGACTCCAACAAGCAACTTTTTCAAGGAGACAAAAGGATTAAGGACTTAGCTTTTTTCCTATTCCTCACAGGGGATGAAATTATGGCAACATGAGTGGTTTATTCTTTCTAAAGCCTTCAAAGCTATCTCAACTCCCAACAATAAGTGCTTAAATGGTAAGGGAAATACACTGAAAGCAAGCAAGGAAAATCCAGTCATAGTTTCAAATTAATAACTTAGCTCTTGCCAGTCCAGTATTAAGCTGAAATAACTCCTGAGCGTCAGCAGCAGGTTACAATCATGTTTGATGCCCATCGACAATTAAACATGTGCCACCTGGTGGCGATCCGTAGCTCGAAGCTTGCTGGGTTCTTGGTGGATGGGGCGCTGGAGTTGAGCTTAGAAGGCTAACTGGTAATCCTGCCGAGCTGATCACTGCTCCTCTCCTCAAGTGTTCGGACAGGCCTGTTTGATCCTAAGGTTGTGGCTCTATCTGGGTGAGTCAGCCCCCCAAAAAAGCCCGAACTCCAACTTCTGTGATCCTTCAACAAATGAACAATAGCCCACAAGTCCTGCCCAGGCTTCAGCTGGCAGCACGTGCCCCTGCAGCTTCCAGCTCTTTCAGCCAGGGGCAGGGCTGGCTTAAAACAAGCTAAGGAAGCTCTTGAGCAATTCACTATTTTGTAGGTTTGAGAAGATGTGGCGACCTCAGATGTGAGTGACAAATCGCAGTTGTCATGGGTGTTATTTTTTCATCCTAGGTTGCTTTCCAACGGGGTACAAAGTGTTGAAGGCTTGTGTTTGGGATGAGAAAGGTGGCAAATGATAAATTAAACATAAAATTTATATTTAATATAAATTTAAATTATATTATAAATTTAAAATATAAAATAAATAATACATTATTTTCATCTTTGCGTGGAGAAAAATACCAATAGAGAAAAGGAGTAATCTCATTCTGCTTTGTATTTTATTCAGTTGTTCTATTTAATGTACACACAGATGTTTCAGAAAAGCTTAGAAAAAAGAAGAAATATAGTGAATGAAGGAGGATAATGAAACTCTAACCCAAGAGCAGAAAAATGGCAACATTGCCAAACTCAGAACCAGAGACTTCAGATTTAGGACTAACAAAGAGTACTGGGTTGAAGCTTTTCTGCTTGGTCTATGAAAAGAAAAAAGAGGATTAGCTTAGCAAATAACTAACATGAGTAGCATTATCATGGATATGATGAACTATTATCTTACTTTCATTGAGGACTGTATGATAGCTTGAATTTTTTTAATCTCATAGGATTTGGAAGAGAGATCTACTCCTTCCTCAGTGATGGGTCACGAGAGATCGTCTTAGAAAAATAGAAGCAACAGCAAGTAAAAAAGGGATGACTATTCAGTGAGCAAAGAGCATATCTAGCATCCCTACTTGACTAGTCAATCTCAAGTAAAAATTATAGGCTGTTCAAGAGGGAAGCCTGACTTTTGAAATAGAAAGAGACAGAAATTTATGCTTCTGGCTCTTGGAGAAACTTTACATATTGCTATTTGTCAATGAGCCTAAGGTAGAGGGTCACGTGGGCCTGCATTTGAATTCTGGCACTAATTGGCTGTGTGGCTTTTAACTTCTCTGGACCTTAGAGTCTTCATTTGCAAGGTAGGATTCACACGCTTCTGATGAAGATTTCATGAAGTCATAAATCTATTGCCTAGCAGAGGGCCTGGTTACTAACTTTCAGAGTAAATAATTCTCTCTTTCTCTTTTCCCATCCTTGCCCCCACTCCCCAATTTTCAGAGATCTGAAAGAGATGCTGGCAGCTTAGAACCTTAGATGAGGAAGCAAAGCCTCACCAAAAGGTAGACTCGCCTTTAGATTTCATTCGTGTAAACTGAGCAGGTCTTTGGCAACGGCAAGACAACTAGAGGCCATAGAGACCTTCCAGAGGCCTGAGGTGCAGCTGAGAGGATGAGATGAGCCAGATTGGGGTCTAGGAGGGAGAACCAAGGGGCTAGATGGGGAAGAAAAGACCAGTGAGAATCTGGGTGGCCAAAGAGACAGTGAAGCCCAGTCCGGAGCCTCTATTGGTCACAGCATTAACTGTGTCGCATAGCCCTTTCCGTTCTTGTTGCTTTTTATTTTGCTTACCTCAGTTTTGCAGTAAAATAATTCTTGAAAATAGTCAAGCCATTTATGGGTTTGTTAGGAAATATTTCCTAAACTCAGTCCTTTAGATAGAAAGAGCATTGTGTTTTGGTGACTGGGTATATTTGTTGGCAGCCACAAAGTAGATTTAGGGGAATAGTAAGGAGCAGGAAAACACAATTAGGGCTTTCCCTAGGTAGATTCATAATCTATAAACCACCAGTGCATATGACCTGATGGAATGTTTAAAGTAATAACGCTACATTGGTCCATAATAGTCCATAATACAGACTTTCCATTCGTTCAGACTGGCCTTTTCCTCAATTATTCTGGGTTATTACATCTTCATTATATTAGTCTTTTTTCCTGAGTCTTACTTTTCCCCTTCCTGCTATCTCCCAACAGTGAGGGAAGCAGAAAAAAATCTAAAGACTATGAACAGACATAGATTGAGGAGCATCGTAACACTGGGGCCACTGTGCCGTTAGAATACATGGCAGAACCTTGGCAAACATTGCCCCACAACACAGGTGCGTGCATGCTCACACATACACACACACATTACCCAGTACCATGAGATCACCTGAACGAGTAATAAGAAAGGTCCAAGTCCAGAGTTATATCAGCCCTGCATCATTTCCCTAATGGTCTCTTAATACTTCTGACTTCCAAAACATCCATTTCCTTGTACCTCTATGAGACCCGTTAACCATGGGATGGGCAGATGGCAACAGAGAGCAATGCCTCCCTGACTGTAGCACTTACTCTCCCTTTACATTTTTAGTAGATCTGTCAGAGATGCTAAAGGCCCAGGAGACTATACTCATTTTCTTACCTGCTGAAAATCTAACTTTGAGACTTGCCAGGGGTCTGAATGGTCTACTATGGTCTGAATGTGTCCCCCAAATTCATGTGTTGGAAACCTAACCCACAATGCAACAGTATTGAGAGGTGAGGCCGAATGGGAGGTGATTAGGTCATGAGAGCTCCACCCTCATGAATCGGTTACTGCTGCTATAAAAAAGGCTTGAGGGAGTGGCCTCTCCTGTTCTCGTCTGCCCTTCTGCCCTGTGAGGATACAATGTTCCTCCTGTCCGGAAGACACAATGAGGTGCCATCTTGGAACCAGACAGAACCTGCCAACACCCTGATCTTAAACTTCCTGGCCTTCAGAGCTGTGAGAGAATAAATTTCTGTTCTTTACAAATTATCCAGTCTGTGGTATTCTGTTATAGCAGCACGAAACGGACTAACACACCTGCCATCGCTGCCTATTCTCTTTTTAAAAGGCTATTTCTGGAATTCTTTATAGGCCCCAGAATTCCCAAAGTGGAAACAATAAACAACTTACCTTAAGTCCTAATCAATCTGAAAAGCAAAGGCAATGAATACATGGATACCTTCTCTCTTTGGAATTCCTCTTTCCATCTGACCCCTGGAATGTTGCCTTTATCTTCAGGATCAGAGAGATGTTAATGACATATTTTCTTTCAGACTCGAGCAGTTCTAGAGCCACAGTCTGTCTTTTAGCTTTAAAAACAAACCAAAGAGGAAATTTTTGTTATCCATTCCTTCCCCACACCCTATTAAATGATAGAAAACAATAAAAAGCAATAAAAGCATATTGAAAGCAATAAAAGAACCATTGGCAAGTTTTCAGAAGATGGAAAGTAGAATGGAGGCATAGTAATTCATTCAGCAGAGTGAAGAGCATGAAACCTTGGTATTCCCATCTGCAAATCGGGAATATGCTGAGAAGCAGCAGAAAAGTTCATGGAGTGGCGACACCAGGCACCACAAAAAGTGCAAATAAGGGGCAATGCTGAAAACAGGAGAAACAGTTGAAAGTTGACTGGGAGAGGTGGCTCATGCCTGTAACCCTAGCACTTTGGGAGGCTAAGGCAGGAGGATTGCTTGAGGCCAGGAGTTCAAGACCAGCCTGAGCAACATGATGAGACCACTATCTTGTGAAAAATAAAAAAATTAGCTGCACACGGTGGCGCACACCTATAGTCCCAGCTACTCAGGAGGCTGAGGCAGGAGGATTGCTTGAACCCAGGAGTTTGAGGTTGCAGTGAGCTGTGATGACACCACTGCACTATAGCCCTGGCAAGTGAACAAGACCCTGTCTCAGGAAAAAAAAAAAAAAAAGTCAACATAAGGTGTAATTGAACCTATAGATCCTCACCCCCATGCCGGTTGGCTCCCTCACTTTCATCTCATGGAAATGGGGAAAATGAAACTAGAGAAGCCCGGGTCTCTGGGGTCTGGGGTAAGGACTTCAAAGTAGAGGGTTGAGACACTGAAATGCAAACCAGGGGACTGGGAAGGCTGCACACTGAGCCGAGAGACTTCCCTCAGCCCTCTTCCCCTGCAGGTCCCAGAACGCCAGCAGCCAGGCGTAAACTCTTCAGGCAGGAGAGTGGAGGCTCTTCCAGTTGAGAACCTGAACTGCCCAAGGAAAAACAACCTGTAGGCACTCACATAAAGAGGTCATATATTAAAAAGTTAATTTGCCACCTGATTAGCTTGTCTCTAATGAAGCCCACTTATCAACAAGCTTGGCCAATATGAAATTTCCAGGGTTTTTTTAGAGCTCTCTCATATATGTAAATAATTAGCTAAGAATGCTCAGACATTTGAATAAAGCTTTTTACCATAAAAGAAAGAAAAGAAAAAGTATATACACATATATTTTTTAAAAGGAGGGGGGACCCTGAAGATACAGAGACAATGATACGAAAGAAAAAATTTTAAAATCTTGTTGTTAATATTATCAAAGAGACACAAGAAACATATTCCAGCCTGTGATAACAATTTAAAAGAGAGGATCATCCCAAAAAAGGAGAAACTTTTAAACATTTTTTAAAAGATAGCAAAAATTAAAAGGGTAGAAGATAAAGTCAAAGAAATCTACCCCCACCCCACCTAAAAAAAATGACATATTGAAGAAAAATAGACGAGAAAGAGATGGCAGTTGAGGAAATCAATCCAGGAGATCCAATATCAAATTAGTAAAAGTTTTAGAGAAAAGAAAGAAAATGTATGAGAGGATATTATCAAATTAATACTAGAAAAAATCCCAGAACATGTATCTCCAGAGGAAAGGGCCCACTATGCCCAGCATAATTAACGAAAGACTCACATCACTGTAAGGCACACCTCATCACCGTGAAACTATAGCACACCAAGAATAAGGAGAAGATCCTAAAAGTTAACAGATAGAAAAATCAGGTAACATACGAAAAAGTGGGGGGTAGAATGGTTCTTCGGACTTTCCTGATAGCAACATTAGAAGCTAGGAGACAACGGAACAATTGCTTCAAAATGATAAGGAAAAATGGTTTTATATGCAGCCAAATTACCAATTAAGTATGTGGAAGCTATTGGATGGTGGGTTCCATCAAAACAAGGAGTAAATCAAGAAACCAAAAGGACACAGAAGAAGGAAAAAAACTGTCAACAACAACAACAACAAACAAACAAGAATCTAACATAGGAGAAACATGAAGGGAATTCCTAGGAAGACTGGGAAGTCCCAAGATGACAGCAGTGTAATGGGCCAGAGAGAAATAGGATGACAGAGGTCTCCAGGACAGATACTTTATTTTAAAAATGTAAATAATAGAATTTCTGTTACATTGCTAAGAAAAATTCATGAGGATCTATATAAATGAAGAGATATATCATGTTCTTTGAATGGAAGACTCAACACTGTCAAGATGTCAATTCTCTGATAATTGGAATAAAAAAATAAGGAATCTAAAATTAGATACCCGTATAAGATCACTTAACTTTCTCCATGCAATTCAACATGGAAAGGAAGGTATTTTCAATAAATGGTGCTGAAGCAACTGGATAGCTGTCTGGAAAAATAAAAATGAACCTGGACCTCTAACTCACCCTATACATCAAAATTTACTCAAGATAAGTCATGGACCTAAATGTGAAAGTTAAAACCGTAATATAAAGATTTTAGAAGCACACATACTTAAATATCTTCACAACCTTGGAATAGACAAAGATTTCTTGGAAAGGCAAGAAAGTCACAAGCTATTAAAAAAGTTTAAAATTGATAAATTGGATCTCAAAATTTTAAACTTCTATTTATCAAAATACTAATAAGAAAGTGAAAAGGCAAGCCACAGACTGGAATAAATTATTCTCAATACATATATATGACAAATAAATCATGTCCAAAATATATTTTAAAATCCTACAAATAGATAATAAAATGACAAACAACATCCAATTTAAGAGGTGGGCAAAGAACTTAATAAACAGGCATTTTATAAAAGAAGATATATGAAAGCCAATAAACATATGAAAAAAGATGCTCAATATCAATAGTCATCAGGAAAGTGCAAATTAAAACTACAAAATGGGCCGGGCACGGTGGCTCACGCCTGTAATCCTAGCACTCTGGGAGGCCAAGGTGGACGGATTGTTTGAGCTCAGGAGTTCAAGATCAGCTTGAGCAAGAGCGAGACCCCATCTCTACTAAAAAAAATAGAAAGAAATTAGCTGGACAACTAAAAATATATATAGAAAAAATTAGCCGGGCATGGTGGCGCATGCCTGTAGTCCCAGCTACTCAGGAGGCTGAGGCAGGAGGATCACTTGAGCCCAGGAGTTTGAGGTTGCTGTGAGCTAGGCTAACGCCACGGCACTCTAGCCTGGGCAAAAGAGAGAGACTCTGTCTCAAAAAAAAAAAAAAAAGACTCTTGTATTGAAGATTCCACATCACTGACTAAATAGTTCACAAAATTCTGCCCTCTTCTCCACCTACTTTATGTCTTTTTTTCCCCCAAAGCCCCATGTTGCTAAATGTCACAAACACCCAGAGTCAAAGTGGTAGTCCCAACTGGCCATGTGAACTCTAATGAGTTCTTTCGCCTCTACAGGCTTTTAGCTGCTTCATCTGAGAAAGAAACCAGACTAGGTTGTCTCCTACATCCCCTGAATAGAAATTGCCAGGTGCAAAGCTCTGGAACACCCTGTTCTTTAAACTATCAGCCTGCATTCCCCCTTGGGACTTACCTGCTAAAGAGGTTTCGCATAAAACATTCTCCAGGGAGCTGTGTCTGCCCTGGCCAGTTTCCTTGAGTTTATCTGGGTGGTCTTTCGTGACATATTCGTCTCCCCACTCTTTACCATCCTTAGGCTGCCTCCACATGCCAGATGGGAGATGGCCCTTGGACTGGATATCAGCTGAGAGGCAAGACTTGAGGTTTTCTTCTGTTTCTGGAGTTGGGTTCACTCCTAAAACAAAACCAAATAAATACCAAAAAAAACCCTGCTATCAAGATTTGACTTTTTTTAAAAAAAAAATTGCATTTTTTACTAACTCTTAACTAATATGTCCCTGTTTGGGGACAACTATCACTTGAAGATTAAATATATTTGTTAAGGATTAAAAGTTTCCATAGCCGTACAGGGTCATCTCTCTCTGTTTCTGTTCTACACATACTCTATGCTTTGTACATAGTCTCTACTAAATGAGGGATTTTAAAAAATAAATTCATAAAATAATATAACTAATTTATAGTAATATATATTGACTCCTCATATCTGCTTCCTTCCAGGTGAGCACGCCAGGTGCCTGGAGCACTACTAGGAAGAGAATACAGAGAGAGGAGGAGAAAGGTGCCAAAGACAATGTCTTCTTTTGCAATTTTTCTCTTTGACCTTGATGACGGTAAATTGCAGAAAGGAAGAAGGAAGGGAGGGAGGGAAGACGAAATAATTTATAAAATTCTGGTGAATTGTTAATTAAGTAAATAACTTTTGAATTTCACTATATAGTATGTGATCCATGGAAAACTTAACGTCATGCTACATTGACCTGTGAGTTTTCAGCAAATATTTATTCATTAGTAATGGAAATGAGCCAGAAAGAACCAAGAATACTGATTTTGTCTTAAACATCCCCAGCCTTTCTCTCTCCCTGGGTTTCAATGAGTCCCTGACCTGCAGTGGTGCACCTCTTGGAATCGTAATGCTTCTTCTTGCCTGAGTTCTTTCATGCCTCGTTTGGGACTGAGGGAGCAGAAGCAGGGAGGTAGAGGGAAAGAGTGGAATCGCCGGAAGAAAAGAACTAGCAGAAGAGCCACTTACCAGGACCCATCATTCCCTTCACATTGCTGTCTGCTACGTGAACGGGTCTGGACTCTTGGGCTGCAGAAAAGGAAAGCTTTCAGTCAGCGTTCATTCCACTGACAAGGACTAGGCACCTTCTATGAGCCACACACTGGGGACAAACTACAGATTCCATAGTTTCATGAGGAAGACAGAGCCATTAAAAAAAAGGAAAATTACAATATAGTGTGGCAAGTGATATTTTCTCAGCTGTAAAAAAATATATATACAATAGTGGTACTTTCCTTAAAGGATTACAATAAGAATTAAATCAGTTAATATTTATAAATGGCTTACAGCAGTAGCTGGCATATTGTAAGAGCTTAATTGCTGTTTGACTCTGATGGTGGTGGCAGTGGTGCTGATGGTCATAATGGGAGGAGACAGAATGATGCTGTTAAAATACAAGCCAGACTCTTACCACTTAGCCAGTGGCTTCCCATTTCAGTGTAAAAGCCAAAGTTCTTATAATGATCATATAGCCCTAGGATATCTACGCCCTACCCACCCCTGGCCACTGTTTAATTTTTTTTTCTTAACCACATCTATTGTCTCCCTTGCTCACTCTGCTGTAGCCCCGCCGGTCTTCTTGCTTTTCCTTGAATATGTCAGTCATGCTCCCGCAGGACCTTGGCACTGGCTGTTCTCTCTCTCCTCCTCAGTATCCATAAGCAAACTTTCTCATTTCCTTCAGGTCTTTACCTGTCGCTTATCCAAAATTACAATCTCTCTTTACTATTTTTTTTCCTTAACTTACCACTATCTAACATGCTACATGTTTTACTTATCTTGTTAATTGTCTGCGTCCCTCAGAACAAAGACTCCATGAGGGCAGAAACTGTTGTTTTGTTCATTACTATATCCCACCACCTGAAATAGAGCTCGGAGTGGATGGATGAGAGGACAGATGGATGGAAGGATGGGTGGATGGATGGTTGGATGGATAGGTGGATGGATGGATGGATGGATGGGTAGAGGAACTGTTGGGTGCCATGAGAGTCTATTAGAGAAGCTCTTGACCTGGATTTGGTGGGAGGAGGATTGGATATCAGGAAGGATGATGTCAGGAATATTCTCTAGTATCTTGTAATTTAAAGTGTGGCCCATGAGTCAGCAGCATTGACGTCACATGAAAGACTGCTAGCTACGCAGAACCTTAGGCCCCACCCCAGACCCACTGAATCAGAATCTCATCTTAACAGTATTTGATCAATCTCACATTAAAGTGTGCACATCAAGGCCCTGGTCTAGAGAATGTGGAGGGTGAGTAGGAGTTAGCCTGGAAAAGTGACAAGGAGCTAGAGGGAGACAAGGAGAGGGAAGAGCATCTGGAAAGGGCCAGAGGCCACAGAATATGTAGCGTATTGCAGGGCCTGAAGGAATATCAGAGTGTTGGAATGTTGAGATAGAAGTACAGGGTAGCAAAAGATAAACCTGAGGGGAAAACTAGGTGCTCGTTAACACATGTGCTTGTAAACTGTGTTAAGGAGTTTGGACTTTATTCTGCAGGCAATTAGGAATCAAAAAGAGAATCTAAGAAGCAGCAGCCAGAAAGTAGGAGGAAAATCAAAGAAGCACAGTATCCGCCAAAAGAAGAGAACATTTCAAGAAGGCAGGTATCAAGGGTGTCGAAAACTATCAAGAAAGGTAAAGAAACAGTTTTTAGTGGAGTGGTAAAGATGGAAGCCAATATTGAAAAGGTTGAATAAACAGGAGGTAAGAAAGAGGAGATGGATGGTGGAACCCTAACCACAGGTTAGCTTTCGATTGTCTCGAGCAAGAATAGGTCAGGAGTGGGGTGGCTAAATATCTTCTTGAAAGTTTCTTGGGTGGGGAAAGGAACCCAAAGGAAAGGTATACTTGGTCCTGTAAAACGACATGTTCAAACTTGTCATTTATAATTGTAGTTATACAATCCCTTCCCTTAAGCGAAGGCTGGATTTAGTGATTGGCTTTTAATAAATAGAACACAGCAGAAAAGATGAAATGCCACTTCCAAGATTAGGTTATAAAGAGACTGTGGCTTCTGTCCTGGGCATTCTCTTAGATCATGTGCCCTGGGGGAGGCCGGCTGCCATGTTGCAAGGCAGCGACTGGGAGAGGCCCATGTTGCAAGAGCTGGAGGCTGCCAACCACCACGTGAGTAAGTTTGGAAGTAGATGCCCCCTGAGGAGAGCCTTCATGTGGCCGCCTGATGGCAGCCTCATGAGAGACCTTGAGCCAGAGGCACCCAGCTAAGCTATGCACAGATTCCTGACTGAGAGAAACTGTGAGATAATGAATGTTTTCTATTTTAAGCTACTGAATTTTGGTGCAACAATTACACAATTTTATCATCAAGTGTGGGTGAGGCAACACTTTCTGAAAGTTTGGTTCTTCAACCCTGAGTTTTAACATGAGCTGTCACCAAGTATATCTAGAGTATTGTATTCTGGCACATTATTCTTAAATTTCTGCAGCAACTCTGTAGAATAAACGATAACTATGTTTAAACAGCAGGGAAGGAAGGAGGAGTTGCCACTAAATAGTTAGTTTAAATCCATGTGGGCACTGAAGTCATCTGGATCAGCTGTTTTCAGTGGATTCAACAAATCCTGTGATTATTCCTTTGCCTGGGGACAATTATACATTGTTTTAAAATGCAGAAATTTGCTGTGCAAATATAAGTTTTAATCTTTTATCTTGTGGACATGTTTAGCTGCTCCAGACCTGGCATTGATCTGACTTGTACTTTCTAAGCCCATCCTATAGTCTTTCCCAATTAGAATTATCCCTTTATGTCTTGTTCTCCATGTCCTGGAGGGAAGAAAACAGAGCCACCTGCAATGGACCCACTCCCCAGATGGATCGAACAAGTTTTCCTAGGCTATGCCTATCAGTCTCTAAAATAACTACTCAGATGGGTAAAAAAACATAAGCTAATCCATCCAGCACTTCACTGTGCTAAGTAAAAGGAAAAAAAAGAAAAAGAAAAAAGCAAATCCATACTATGTAATATGCCAATTAAAAGTCACTTGATTTAGATTCTGAGTTCAGTTATTCAGAACACATTTATTGTCTATGAATATATCAAATTGTTCCATAAGCCATAAAGACAGAAAACCACCAACCCTGCCTTTGAGGTGCTTACACCTGGTTGAGAAACCATTGAGCCTATCTTTTGAGGACTTTCTACATGAGACCAAAAATAATAGAAAAAGTCATCTAAACAATGTTAATATTTACATTCATTTTTCTGTGTACAGGTGCTTGCTAGACATTGTCGAGGATACAAAAATGTAGCAAACATTTTTTGTTTTGTCTATTTTCCTGAGTTGAACACAGGTTAATAACCAAAACTCAGACATCCCTTGGAAAGCCAGTTTCTTCAGTACTGCCAGAGTGCGATTTTCTAACATCTGTTCTAACGTCCCTAAGGTCAGGGATGTGGCTGGTACCTGTTTCAGCGCATGGACAGCACTAGCGCTGGTTTTCTAGAGAAAGACAAGTGCTGAGTTAAACCACCGATAAAACAATTTATTAGAGTAAATAATTTTTTAAAAAATTTCTCTCTTATGGTTGCTATAGTATTGATTGTGCAATTATTTTTAATCCAGTTGAAACTGAGAAGTATCCAGATTAGTATTTTTCCCAAAAAGAAAAATCTTTAAAATTGGGCAGACTCTTGTGGTCTCTCAGATCCTCTGGAGTCTTCTAAATTCCAGTTATAAGAGGAAAAATTCCGGGCAATACACCATTGTCCTCTAATAAGAATGAGGGACTTAAGCCCATTCTTACTTAAGCCCTAGGAATCAGGGAAAAAAATACTTGGTTAATTCCGCATGATTGGTGAACTGCACCTTTTTCGTAGGCCTGAGAAGGCAAAAGGTTGCTAAAGTCTTCACTTGGAAGAACAGGCTCAGGGATGTTGATTGAACGGAAAGGACTTCCCTGTGCTTGTGCAGGCCCAGCCTGGGAGCTGTGTTCTTCTTTTTGAGTTTTCCTAGGAAAGGGAAACAAAGACAAGGCCAGTTTGCTTCTTAATACATGATAGGTTAGAAGGAGATTCAGTTCAGAACAACTCAAGAAAATTTCTGAATTATTAGGTTGAACCATATAAAGTGCTATTTTTGTAAATTAAAAATGGTTAAATACTAGCAAGTCATATGCATCAACTGAATACATCACTTAAGCTGGAGAAAAAACTTGAAATAGCTGCAAATCAACTTCTAATTATAATACTTGAATTCTTATTTTTTTTGTCACTAGCTTCCCTGTCATCAAGATCTTCAGAATTTGCAGTGGTGACAATTTGCTTGGGATGATTTATATTCACTTAACAAAGCAACTCAAAGTTACCAGGAAGCAGTGGGTCTTCAACTGAAAACAATAGCCCATTCTCTAGGGACACACGAATTATCCCCATATTTCTATTTTAAATTTGATAATATTAAAAACATACATGTAACAATAAAGATTATGTATGTTTAGTGGTGAAATTTATTTGATTCAACCTGGTTGAGACATTGTTTAACCTAAGTTTATTTTCAATTATATTAATAGAAGCAAAATAATAGTAGCATAATAAAAAGAGAAAATTATTGATGGCCTCACTATCTTAACAATCATTACTTTAAACTATGTCTTTCTAGTAGTTATTTTACATGTTTTTACAGTTGTAATCAAAGCATACATGCCATTTTATATCATTTTCATTTCACGTAATATTGTATAAATGCATTTTTCCATGTAATAGTTACCATCCATTTTTGGTACTAATCAACTTTTATGGCTCTATAAGCTCCATCACGTGGCACCATGGAGCACAGCAACCAGCTAGGTACATACTAATAGTGAGGAAAGTGTTTCCCATGCCTCTGCACTAGTCCTTGCTTATAGGTTTGCCTTTGCTAAATATTTTTAAGACACTCACTTGGCTTTAACTTTTCGAGATTCTCTTCGTTTCTCCTGTTGAAGCTGTTCAATTTTCTGTTGCATTTCTTCTTGTTTGGAAGTGATGGCCTGGATCATTGACATGGCATTACTCAGCTCTTCCTAAAAAATAAGAATTGCTGTGTTTTAAACTGGCACATGGGATAAAAGTATATAACATAATCTAATACATTATAAGCTTTTTAAATTTATTTTTTATTTTTATTTTTTTTAGAGATGGGGTCTCACTATGTTGCCCAGGCTAGAGAACAGTGGCTATTCACAGGTACTATCATAGTGCACTAGAGCCTTGAACTCCTGGGCTCAAGCGATCCTCCTGTCCCAGCATGCTGAGTAGCTGGGACTACAGGCATGCACCATCGCACCTGGCTGTAAGCTTTAAATACATGTTTATTGAATGAATGAATGAATGAGAGATGAAAAATTTACTTCTATTGTGGCCTCTAATTTTAACACAGAGCTCCAAAGAAGAAAAATATGAAATCAAGAGCTGAATATTTTTATTTTTCTTTCTTTTCTTTTTCTTTTTTTTTTGTTAGAGATAGGGTTTTGCTCTGTCACCCAGGCTGGAGTTCAGTGGCGCGATCATAGCTCGCTGCAACCTGGAACTCCTGGCTCAAATGATCCTCCTGCCTCAGCCTCTCAAGTAGCTGGAACTACAGGCACCAGCCACCATGCCCAGCTGATCTTTTTTTATTTTTATTTTTAGAGATGGGCTCTTGCTATGTTGCCCAGGCTGGTCTCAAACTCTTGGACTCAAGCATCCTCCCTCCTTGGCCTTGCAAAGTGCTGGGCTTACAGGTGTGAACCATCGTGCCTGGCTGACATGGATATTTTTCTATGATAACTAGTGAATAGCCCAGAGGGAAAATCCTTATATTTGGCTGGTATGAGAAAGGACACGTTTTCTACTCCTGTTACTAAGACCAAGATTCTCCTTTCAGCAGGGAAAAGAGGGGACTACCTTGAAATAGTTTAATGAATTCTTCATCTCAGTAACTTTTTCTTCCATGGAACATCTGCAGCTTTTAACCTTTTCTTCCAAAGCATATTCTCCATGTTGAATTCTTGACAGTTCCTGCATTGCTTCTGTGAAACCAGTTTTGAGTTCCGAGGCTAGCGCCTGCAACTAAATAATGCATGGAAAGTGAATTCGATTTGCTATAAATTACTATAAAGGGTATCATCAGCCCTTGAATTTTTCTTGTTGAGAAACCAGGCTCCCAAAAATCTGCAGACCACATTTACAAGAATACTTAAGTTTGGACAACTTAAAACAATCTTGGCCCCATTCATCTAGGGAAAAGAGTGTCTTCTTTATATGGCACGTGCCGAAGCTCAGTAAGTGACAAGAAAGCAAGCAGTTAATTAAGTTTACAAGTGCTCCTGCAAGCTATTCATTCCGAAACCCTTGATTAAAATGAGATATACTTGAAAAGCAACACATGCATGTGAAAGACAAATCTTGATCTGGTAATTCTTTGAATTCTGTGAAAGAAGAAGAGATGGATCATATTCTCTCTGGTTATTATGAGTGGTAAAGATATTCGGTTCTTTTTTCCTTAAGAGATTAACTAAGCACAACTGAGAATTTCTTTGAAAGGGAAGAAGTTTTTTACAGTTTTGTTTTTTGTTGTTTTTATACTCTTGAATGATGTGAGAAAGGAGGTGATAGCCTTTCAACGACAGTGGGCTGTCTCATCCATAAGGAAGGCACAGAAATATCTGGTAGGATATGGTGGGAGCTCAGCATGTTGTTGATGGTGATCTGAATCATCTTCAGCAGTCAAGCCTGGTCACGCAGGAGCGCACACGTTGGACTTCTATTGTCAACTTCAACACCATGAAAGAGGTGTCCACTTTGGAGTCCGGTGGGGTACAAATTCCAGCTCTCCCCTACAAGTGCTAAGACCTTAGGCAAGCTGGTTAACAGTTGTAACAGTTTCCTCATTTATAAAATAGCTATAATAATATCTATTTCACAGGGATGTCTTGAGAATTTAAGTGAGTCAATGTAGGTAAGCTGTGTACCACAGTGTATACCTGGTACCCAGGTGTTCGGGACATTTTAATTCTTCTCCCCCTATAGGTGACAAATTAAAAAGTTAAGCACAAACAGAAATGTGGAGAAAATGGAGCACTTCTAAAGTTCAGTTTTATTTATTGAACAAATAAAAATAGCATTTTCAACACACAGCAAGTTAAGATAGTAACAATAAGCTAGTAATAACATTAAGTTTCTTGACATTTGCGACCTTACATTCTGCTAAGCACAGAAACTCTTAAATCCACAACTCTCTTTAAAATAGAACTATTTAGAAGGTTTATTCTCTAATTAAAAATATCCACCAAGTATTCTTATTTTAAAGAAATAAAAAATGAAGTCCAGGTACCTTAACAAAGTTTCTTCAAACGTGTATTTCTAAACATTTTCAGAATCAGGTCACTCAAATGGTTCCAACCTGCAATGGCACCTCTCATTCTACAATGACTTAGTCTCTTACATCACGTTTTTAAAATACAAGGGTTTGTGGTTCACTATGCTTCACAGAGGATTTTTTCAGGGGCTGCTAGTAGGGAGAAATAAGAGGAACCAAAGAGGTCATCTTGAGGGGAAAAAAAAGCAGGGCCTGTCAAGAGTTTGGAGCTAGAAAGATGGCAAACAACACAAGCAATCTGTTTTTCATTGCAATCATTTTTAACGTCAATTAATCTTTGTGATGGCTTTTGGCACATGTCCTGATTTAGTCATCGTAATGGACTAACTCATCACATCAACTACTTTCTGATGTAGTAATTTTCACTTTGTAAATTCATCTTCTGTGAGCACAATAAACACAACTGACGGCTATATATAATCTAATGTCAAAGCAAAATACATGTGAGTTTTAAAACTGAAGGAAATAAACCTGACATTCATTCCAGTGCCCTGATATTCTCTTAGGTTTCCTGCTTGGATTAAAAAACGGGAACCACTATCCAACAGAAATAGGTTTCATTATCACTGCTCCTGGAGGTGGATGCGTGGAGTCTTCCCCAGAAGACAAAAGGTAGTAGCAAGAGTCCCAGGGGACCTTTCCTCACCTGCAGAACCCCAGCTCTCAAAAAATGAAAAACCATTGAATTTTTCCCTAACAGCCAGGTTACACAGGGACTCTGGGAATTCTGGAACTATTTTGAGCTGTCTGCCCCTTTCCTCCCTGTATATTACTTTGAGCCCCTTGGATACCTGCCCCTGAAGTAACACTATGGCTTTGTAAACAGCTTCACAGCCACTGACCAGCCAGGGAGGGGAAGCCATTGTGCAGTCACACACCTGAGACAACATGTCACTTTTAAGCTCAGGGCTCTTAATATCTTTAGCCACTACAGACTGGTTTTCCAATATCAACCTGACCGCTCCCTTGTGAATAAAAAATACTCTGAAGACATGGTCTTAACATCTTTGCTCTCTCTTCAGCTTTCTTATTTGACAGCCCACACCCACCCCAAGGATTATAAATGGGTGTCTACCTTGTTCTCCAGCGAGTTGAACACGTTCCTCATCTCGTTGATTTTTTCATGAAGCTGATCTAGAGAGGTTATGATTCCTCCATCCTGCCGCTGGAGGCGGGCTCCCACTGGAGGTAGGTTCAGGGAAGACTTGTACTTCGAAGCCTACGGTACCACAGAGGGCATCTTAGGCTCAAAGGAATACGGGAGAGGAGTCCGAATTCTTCCTAGTTCCTGCTCCTAATCTCTGTTTCTCAATTTTCTTTCCTTTCTTGGCTTCTTAGCTCTTCGTAAGATGAATTTTAGTCAGTGTCTTCCAATTTTTTTTTCCAACAAAAGTTCCCTGAGGCCTCAAACTTAATTTTCACAAATTCCAACTTGTGTTTTACACAGACTTCCCCTTCCTTTCTGCCACATTACCAAGGTCAGGAGGCTACTATGAGGCAATTTCAGGGGACTGGGCACATGCCTCGGGAACTCTGTAAAGTCATAAATGTCAAGGTTTGGGAAACCTCCACAAGGCATGCCAAATTCCTACAACTCCAGAAGAGCAAAAGCCCAAGTGTTTGGAAGTAGCACACACGTGATGGCAAGGATGCCAAGGTAACTGCTCTGGCTTCCCCCTAAACTAGGGTCACCACAAAAGCAACATAATTCTGCCAATTTCCATCTTTCAATTTTAGGTTTCTTTTGTTGATTCCCAGAAATGCAATGATTTAAAAGAAAAAGTGAGCAGCAAGTAATTTGAATGTTGTGAGTAAATTTCCTCAATCCATTCCCTATACTCCCTGCGGCAGCTGACCCTTAAAGCCATTCTTACGGGGCCTTATGGAAGCTGGTATGAAGCCTGGTGTGTGGAAAATTTATCTCATCAATCCCTGGATGCACCACATGCCAAGAAGAATTAACTCCTCTGGTGTTAGAAGCATTCCTCAATGACAAAACGAAACTGAAGCTCAACCAGGACTTAACAAGTCCTAGAAAACTTTCAATGGCAGTTTTGACAATGAAACCTATTACTGTAGGACTGGTTCCCATAGTTTTTCAATTAGAGGGCCTTTTGGCACATAACGTATTTTCTAAAATTATTTTTGCTATAGAGAAAAATAAAGAAGAAAATAGAGAATCACTCTAAATCCCATTACTTAAGTATGACCACTAACATTCATATTCCCTTCTATTTTGTTATATGCATACTTATATGGTTGAAATCACACTGCAGATAGATCTTGATTCTGCCTCTCCTTTATTTCCCCCCTAAGAGTCTAATAAGCCCTTTTCCATAGCCTTTAACATTTTTCTAAATGGGTTTTTTTTGTTTTTTTTTTTAGAGTCGGAATCGCACTCTGTTGCCCAGACTGGAGTGTAATGGTACAATCATAGCTCACTGCAGCCTCAAATTCTTGGCCTCAAGCAATCCTCCTGTCTCAGCCTCCTGAGTAGCTGGGATTACAGATGCAAGCCACTGTATCTGGCTCTAAGTGCCTGTTTTTAATGGCTACATAATATTCTATGCTATGAATGTGCCAGAATTTACCTACGCATTTACTCTTGTTGAAAATTTGTGTTGTAACGTTTTAATATTAGAAATAATGCTATCATATAGTTTTTTATTTAAAGTATTGTACATATTTCAGATTATTTCCTTAGGATAAATCCCTAAATATAAAATTACTGGGAGTCAAAGATGTTAGGTAATGTTTCACCCAAAGAGAAATCTACCATATTGCAAGGAGGCAATATATTCAATTCATTAATAATTATAGGCCGGGTGCGATGGCTCACACCTGTAATCCTAGCACTCTGGAAGGCCGAGGCAGGCAGATTGTTTGAGCTCAGGAGTTCAAGACCAGCCTGAGCAAGAGCAAGACCCCGTCTCTACTGAAAATAGAAAGAAATTAGCTGGACAACTAAAAATATATAGAAAAAATTAGCCGGGCATGGTGGCGCATGCCTGTAGTCCCAGCTACTCGGGAGGCTGAAGCAGAAGGATCGCTTGAGCCCAGGAGTTTGAGGTTGCTGTGAGCTAGGCTGACGCCATGGCACTCTAGCCTGGGCAACAGAGTGAGACTCTGTCTCAAAAAAAATAATAATAATTATACAAAATATGTTTGACCAGAGGATTTGAAAAGTTATAATAATAGGTTATATATATGATATGCAATGTCCTAAGTTAGTGGATTTAGAAAAAATCATCTTGAATAATAAGATATATGACACTTGAGTAATAGAAATGGAGGAAACTGCAGTGTTTACATGGCTAAGGCTACAAGTGAGCCTAAAACACAGGGTTCAAATCATTAGTGTGAATGTTGGGTTAGCACTAAATTGTGCAGTTACCACATCTGTTGCCTTAATTATGGAATCCCCTAATTAATAATGGGATATTGATGAGGTTATAATTGTGATAATCCATATGCAAAATTAAGTAATCAAGGGGGAAACAATAACACCTGACTCTGGAAAAGAGATCTGATTCAATGACTTTGAAAGGGATATGTGCGATGGACAAAGAATAAGAGAAAAAGGAAGTAAAAGTGGGTTCAAATAAAAGGGAATATACTGAGCCCGCAAACCCAAGGAGTAGTAGGTATATCCTACTGCTGATTCACCTGTTCTGGTGGTAATTTTACCCAGAGAGATAGTAGTGCTCATTCCCTTGTTGATGTTCATGACCTGATGTGTGTGACTGCACCTTACTGTCACCGAGGGGGTCAAGTCCATCCACAGGGTATAGACCAGGGAGCCAATGACGGATCGAACATTTTAACATTTGCTACCTTTCAACTAATAATTTTCCTAAAAGTTTCTACCAATTACACACACTCACCAGAACTAAATATTATTATCTTGTTATTTGCTAATTAGGTAGTCAAAATATAATACTCTTATTTTAATCATTGCTTCTTCGAATTTCAACCTTTTCTTCTGTTTATTAGTCATCTGTAATTTTACTTTGGGTAAATTGTTTGTGTTCTTTGCCCATTTTCTACTGGGATTTTGGAAGTTTCCATTTTTATTGATTTTTATGAATTATTTATTTGTCCTTAAACCTTCAGTATATTTGTTTGTAAGTATCTTTCCAATTTTATTATTTTCCTTTGAATTTGTCTATAATATTTTTATGTTGGAAAAATTTTAAATTGTAATATAGGTGAGCCCTCAAACTCCTTTCTTTGTGATTTCTTCCAGTGCTTTTTTACTTAGAAAGATATTTAATATCAGAAGCAAAATAAATATTCACTTATTCTAAAGTTTTATGGTTTGGCTTTTTAAATATTTAACCCTTTAATCCACTTTGGAGTTTGTTTTGATTAGGGCATAAAGTGAGAAAAGCTTCTTTCTTTCCCAAAGAACCAGCCAATTTCCCAACACTGTTTGGCACCAAATTGAACAACTGCATGAGACCTTTTGGCTCAAAGCAATATACACAATTTCTATATATTCATTCATTCATTCAGCTAATATTTATTGAATATGTATAATATGCCAGGCACTGTACTTTATGCTGAGAATACAACAGAGAGTAAAATGCACTAAATTCCTGCCCTTAGAGCTTACATTCTAGATGAGGAGCCAGACAATAAAAAAAAGAAACAAGTTGATATAAATGATAAGGTCAGGTAGGGATGGTATCTGTCAAGAAAATAAAATAAGGAGATAGAGAATTGCTGAAATTTCATATTTTGCTTCAGATACCCTCCCTCCTAGTATTGATTATATTCTATTATAGTTAACTCCTCCTCACTTCCCTTCTCTCTCTTCCTTGTCTTCTTTCTTTACTTCTCCTCTTTCTTCTTCTTCTTTTGTTTAAACGTTGCTTGGAGTAGACAGACTGGGGCTTAGGAAGTGTTCTTTTAAAACAAGGATGGAGTTATAATAGCATCCCAGAGGTCATATAGACCAACTTCACTTTTCCATTGCTTCATGTGTTCCACTGCGATCAGATGTACTTGGATTTGTGATACAATAAGATAATGAGGCCACCCCCATTGCAGCTATATTTAGCTAACATTCAGGGAGTGACCTACATAAAACCTATAATAGACTTTAAATCATACCTGAGTTTAAAGAGGTACCCATGTTCATTCAAAGGCCACATACAGGTCAGATGTGAACAGAAGGGAGGGGGGCAGGGAAAGCATTGGAGGTCTTGGGCCAGTGAGGCAACACATCGGTGCTGAGTAAAGATCCACTCCTGCTTCCAGGCCTTTGTTCAAGTTGGTCTCTCTGCCTGAAATAACCTTCCCCATATCCACTTGTCAAATGATTCACTTGTCCTTAAGTACCTGGTTCAAATCCTCCAGTCAATACTAATTCATCCCTCCACCACAGAATTTTATCAATGCCTCTGCTGTAATTCTTTCAACAGCCTACCTGTGTAAGTTATTTATTACATGTGTTTCAGGTTGTAGACACTTAAAATCAATGAGAATGTCTGTTTCATCTGTTGAATCTCCCATTAGGCCAACCAGTAGACTTTGCGCATAGTAACTGCTCGGATCAGTATGCGTTCAATTGAAATGAAGCTGTTTCCACTACCCCATCCCACAGCTGGTCTGAGTCTAGGAGCAGTACGGTTAAAAAAAAGTTTTCATAATTCTTCTACGCTGGTTTTCCCTAATTGGGCTCACAGCAATGATCTCTTGAATGATATTTCTGGTAACTACTTATTTTCACTTTACTTTCACTTTAACTCAACAATCTAAATGGCATTTCCCCTAAACTGTCTGCCTCTGGACTCCTATATTTCTGATTGGGAGGCCACTCTTTTTCCTAGTTACCAGGGCTGAAAACCTTAGAGCCAACTTTGAAAGCACTCTTTCTCCCAACTGCCACCAAGCCCTGTCAGTTAGTTCTTTCTTCTCACGTACTCCAGATAACGCTGCCTAAAGTCTAGAGAGGAGCATGGGTTTCCCTAGCAAGCTGCTTTAAATTACAAATTATGTCAGAATAAACTTCTATGATTTTTAAGAACAGAGATTTACTTTAAGTTTATAGTTGGGAGATAGCAGCTGAATAAATACTATTTAGAGAGCCAAAGCAGCCTGATATGACTCTCATTGCAAAGATTTTTTGCAGAACTTTGATCTTCCTTGTAAATTAAATTATTCCCATTATTTGAAAGTAGCTTAAAATTTTTGTTATAACTATATTTGAACATTTGCAATGTTAACCCATTTTCAATTCCCAATTCTCCCTAAGAATTGAGAAACTAAGAAAAACAGGTCTTGCTCTCTCCTCCTCTCTGCTGGAAATATTATTGTGCAGTATAATGGCCATAGTGACGGTGGCAACAAGCAAGAAAAGAAGGGTTGAGGTGGGGGTGGTAGTTCTGCATTTTATAAACTGGATAACTTGTCCTTCAATAATCAGTCCTCTCAAAAGTACAATGTGAGTGGTGGTACCCTCTGCCCTGCCTATATCACAGTCTTGTTAAGAGAACAAATGCAACAATGTACGCAGAAGCACCTGTGACTGCTAAAAATCTCTGTACATAAAAGACAGTCGTCACTATTGCACATGGGAGCATTCAAAACAATCCACTTGTCTTTACCTGGTAAATCTGTGTGGAAGGATTATTCACCGGCATATGTTCATTCTCTCCTGTAGGGAGAAAGAGCTTTGTTCAATCAGCACGACTCATTCTTTCCCTATCCTCTTCAGATACATTCAGAGAATAAGGGAAATTATAGGATCCACTAACTGTGCCTGTGTGACAAGAAACCAGTGATTCAAGAACAACAGAAATTAAGCTGGTACAGGTGGTTTTTATATTCACACGTCGTAATGACCAAGCCATATCTACCTGACATACTCTTGTAGTAAACCATGTTCTACCACAGGAGGGAAGTTTCTCAACCAAACCAAATGATTGGTGGCCATTAAATAGCCAGAAGGGAATGCACAGGAAGTGTCTCCCTCATGTTCTTGAGGCTGACTGAAGTTCACCTGAGGGGACAGTTCTACAGTCAGGAAGGTGGCTATTCGCCGGGCACTGTTGATCTCAGGAGGACTGCAAAAAGTGTCCTTTACTTCTCCTACCTCTGATATTTGTCAAACTTCTGAACTCTGCCCTACTGTCACAGCCAGGATCAGCTAAGGGAATCTTGCTGTCCTCCTGCGCAAGAGGGCTGATGGAAGGGAACCGTCAATGGAAAGGTTCTGGGAAAGGAGGCAGGCAGAAGAAAACAGAATTGTCCACACTAGAGACTGGGAAACACAGGACAAACATAAAGGAAGTAGTAGGTTATAAAAGCTATTAATATTTACAACCTACAGAGAAAACAAGAATGTACATTCGGTTGTGTGGATGTGTATACTGTTCTCCCAAGACACACTGGTACAGGAAACCCCTCCTTAGAGGAACCAGACACTGTGTGTTAAGTTCGTAAATAATATATAACCTCATCCCAGACCTTATACACACAGACGGCTACCCCTATAAAATCCAGATGATTTGAGATTACCAAAACTCCTTGCACAACCTTGAGTAAAGATTATTTATCCAATTTTATACTATGTCCCAACAGCCTGGTATAACTGCAAGAACCAGGATTTGGGAACAAAGACCAGGATCCCAGACCTAAGTTTGACACTTTGGAGTTGTAGCCTGACTGCTCTATGATTGTTTCTTCCTCTGTAGATTGGAGGTAATGACAGAACCTACTTCTACATGGTTGCTTCTATATGGTAAGATTATAAAACAAGGCACTTATGCTTCTAGACTAGCCTAGAAGGTGCTAGATGTCTATTAGTTGAATCTGTGTCTTGGCCTTACTCAGCATATTGTTCTTAGACAATCCTAAAGTTATTCATAAGAAAAATAAGATAGCAACTCTGATAAAATTATACAGACAGAGCATTTCTTATTTTCCATTGCCAAACCTGTGTTTGTCATGGTCATTATCTGATGATAGGGAAATGAGAATAGTCAAGTTAACATATGGTCATGTTTTGAGACAGTGGCAAGACAAGACTAAAACCTACATTCCTTGAATCCTGAGCCCTAAAGCAAGACAGAGGAAAAATCTGACCTTGCTTTGTTTTGGTTTTTTCCATGGTGCCTGTTGCTTCTTCCCTCCAGTCTATTCTTCAACATTGCATCACCATTGTCCCGGCTCAGGCCACCACCTCTTCCCCGCACCTGTCAATTGAAATCAAGAGTAAGGGACAGCAGGTAGGACTGGAGAAGAAACTGGACTTACTTTATGTGTCAACTTAAAAAAATTGAAATGAACACAGCTTGTGGTTTATGCAATTTTTTTTTCCAGAAGAGTAAAAACACTAAGTTGAGTAAAATTTAGCTTAAGGATAAATATCATTTTGTGAATAAATATGAAATTCATTATGTAAATGTGTGGTAGTTTTAAAATACACTACATTCTTTATTTGGATGCATTGATTTTATTAGCGGGTTATAGTTTAGGGAAATTATCTTAAGAAGAAAAAACTTGAGCAAGTATGAAGGTCAGTACACCTGTTTCTATTTTGTTAAACAGAAAGTTCATTGATGGCCTTGTCCCTACTTTCAGCATCTGGTAGACTTCTTTTTCACCCAGGAGATGCTTGTCAAATGTGGCCTGGCTGTAGTGACCATTAGACATGAAGCTGAAAGGTCAGAGTGCTATCGTAACAAGCACACACACAATCTGTGTTGCAGACACCGGCCCTCTTTTTAACCATCCAGCAATTTAACACTTTCCTATGTTTGGAGAATTCCCCTGCCTTACAAGGCTTGATCAGATGTCTCTATAGAGGCACTACAGAGGCTAAAAGTGCCAGGTTCTCTTAGCCTCCCTTGCAGCTGAGGCATGATAGACACATGACCTAGGAGATCCGTACCAGTCAGATGTGCCCACCTCAATTGACACTGGAAGTTGCAAAAGATTTCAGATATACTTGAAATTCTTTCTACTTTCTAAGAGATAGAGTTGTTAAGACAAGCAGCAGTAGCAAGGATAGTGGTGGTAACCAATATCTGGTACAGAGAGTTGAGGAAAATCAAGCTGCTGTTTGTGGTGCTTTCCTCACCAGAACTATTGTACTGCTATATGATTCGCGGCACTGTTGCTGGCCATAATCCCAAAGTGGATTCTCCAGTCTCCCAGCAATTTTATGAGCTACTCATCTCCTTTCAACAAATTCCTTTGCTGTTTAAATCAGCCAGAGTTGTTTTCTGTTGCTTGCAATTAAGAAATCTGATTGAAACAATACAGAGATGATAGCACTATCCAAGATGAAGAAAACACAAGTTCAAATTTTGTTCACCACTCTAGAAAAGACAAATCTAATCTGTGGCGACAAAATGCAGATCAGCAGTTGCCGAGAGCAGGAGGTGGAGGGATAACCGGGAAGAGGTACAGGGATCTTTTGCGGATGATAGAAAGGTTCTATTGCTTAATTGTGGTGGTGGTATATGAGAGCATACATTTGTTCAAACTCATCAAATGTATATTTTAACTGGGTGCATTTTATCCTATGTAAATTGTACCTGAAGAAAGTTGACTTAAGACTTTTCATTCACATCCTGAGGTCTATGAAACAAAATAATAAATTAGCAAAGGTAGGAGAGTACACATGGATGACAAGGCATTGGGGAACAGCTACATAGCTATAAATGAGGAATGTAAAGAAAGGCCCTATGCTATTTGAACTCTTACACACATTTCACGTGAGCATGAAAGTTATGTCAGGATAGGGCATCTTCCCCAGCTATCTTAATCTCTTTTCATAGCTGATATAAGCTTTACTAAGATGAAGACGTTCTTCTCCTTAGCAATTGTTAATTTATTTGAGAAACTTATTAATATTTATCAAATAAATAATGCATTCCATGATGAATATAATTAAATCATAGAACATTAGAGCCAAAAAAGCCCTGAGAAAATTATTTCATTACACTTTTTCATTAATAGGCGAAAAAACCAAGGCCTAGAGAAGGGAAGTGAAATGACTTGCCCAAAGCCACACAGCTTTGAAAACTATTATTAGAAGTGAATTCTTTTACTGTTTGGGGAAAAAAGTCTTGAAATAGGTAAAGCCTTATTTTTACGGTTTTATGGATAATTTATTCCCAGGGATTTAGCTATCTAATCTATAACTAATTGAAAACAAGCAAAAAAATCCATATATCATAGGTAAAATGAAAATTTACATATTTGCAGAGCTAGGACATCTTCAAATTCAGATACATACACATGGCCACTGATTTCAAGACATAAAAAAAGATATGTGACTGATAGAAAGTAAGTTAGAAATTCTATTTTATTTAGTTAATTACAAAAGCAACAAAGCTACATTAGAAAAAATTTGGAAAGTATAGAGGGGGGAAAAAAGAACTATAATGCCTCTACTTAAAGAACTATCATGATCATTTGTTTGTATTGCCTGTCAATCTTTTTTCTCTGGAATGTTCTACATAATTGTTAACAGAGCCTACCTAAAACTTTATACCTAACTATTCCACCTAAGTTATAGCATAAGCATTTTTCTTTTAAAATTGGATTATTATTATTATTCACGCTGTTTTTATTATGGCCGTTTGAGCAGAGGGTACAAACTGCTCTTCCCTAATCCCAACTTAGATAACAATCTCTGGTATTCTTCCATTCCTTTCTCCATCCTTACATAATCACATGCAAGCATACATACAGAATATACACATATGCAATAGGGCTGTCATTGTAGGTTCATACTATACTTCTCTGCATATTACCTCTTTTACTTAATACATCATGGCAATCTCTCCAAGTTAATTAGTATAGATCTAAGAAATGATTATTATTTTTTCTAACTTCGCATCAGACGGGTAATGTGCCGACATTGTAACAAGGTTTGAAGGAGACACATCTCACACATGAGTGTGAAAACCCAATCATCACGCTTATGAACTACAAAAGAATCTCTAAGAAATTATTTTTAATGGCTGCATAATATTCCATGGTACAAACGAAGTGGGTTGATCATTCCTCTTTTGATGAGCATTTCTTTTATTTCCATTATTTTGCCACTGCAAATAATGTCACTACAAACTTCTTGGTATATAGAGCCTTACATATTGGTGCTTTCATTTACATGGGATTTTTCATAGACATAGCTAGGCTGCTTTCCAAAAAGGCTATAATTATTCTCATTTTCCCCAAGCGCATTGCATGAGTACTTTTTCTCCTGCATCCCAGAGCCAATAGTGGATATTAATACTTTTTAGTTCTTCTCAGTCAGGTGGGTGACAAGTGATATTCCATAGTTATTTTGCTGATTTCTAGTGCTGCTAAGATCTCTAAATATACTTACCAAATATCTAGATTTGTTTCTCTATACATTAACTCTTCCGCTGATTTGCCTATTTTTCTACCAGGTCATCTGCCTTTTCCTTATCAATTAGTAAAAGTTTCTATATAATAGATATTAACTATTTATTTGTCATATGCAATATTTTCCCTGTGTATCTTTTTGTCTTTTGACTTTGTGGTCATTTTTTTTTTTTTTTTTTTTTGAGACAGAGTCTCATTGTGTTGCCCGGGCTAGAGTGCCATGGCATTATCCTAGCTCACAGCAACTTCAAACTCCTGGGCTCAAGCAATCCTTCTGCCTCAGCCTCCCGAGTAGCTGGGACTACAGGCATGCGCCACCATGCCCAGCTAATTTTTTCTATATATTTTTAGTTGCCCGATTAATTTCTTTCTAATTTTAGTAGAGACGGGGTCTCGCTTTTGCTCAGGCTGGTTTCGAGCTCCTGAGCTCAAACAATCTGCCTGCCTCGGCCTCCCAGAGTGCTAGGATTACAGGCATGAGACACTGCGCCCAGCCTTTGTGGTCATTTTTGTTATTGAAACATTTTAAAATTTATGAAGTCAAATAGATCTTTTTCCTTATTTGCTTCTAGGTTTCTTGAGTTGGTTTAAAAGCTCTCTACAATGCTGAGGTTATATATATATGTTTCCTTAAATTTTCTTGTAAGGTTTTTCTCATTTTTAAAAGTGTTTAATTCATCTGAAATTTGTTTTTACTTGTGGAATAAGAAAATATTCAACTTCCATATATTCCAGATGTATAGCCACTTATACCTGCCCTGGTTATCAAATAAACCATCCTCTTCCTTCATGGAATTTAAATATCGATTTTTGTCATATATTAAATTCCTGTGTATATTATGGGCTCTCTATTCCATTCTGATCTATCTACCTATTCCTATTCTAAAATCACAGATTATAGATATTTTTCAGTGTTTTAAAAATATTTGAAAGGCAAGCCAACTATTATTCTTTTTATAATTTGGTTTTCCTGACATTTATTTTTCCATATTAACAAATGAACTGCAAGGTCATTTTACCTGTTACAAAAAAATAAAGATTTTCATTGGAATTGCAGTAGATGTATATATTAATTTGGGAGAATTTACATTTTTCTTACATGAAATCTTATCATCCAGGAACAATATAGCTCTTTTCATTTGTTTGGATCTTGCTTCAGGTGGTTGAATCAGATTTTATATTAGATTTTATAGTCAGTTTTCTTCTTAAAGATTCTGTACTGTTTTGTACAATTTATTCTTAAAGTATTTTATAGTTTTATTGCTATTGTGAATGGCATTTTCCCCATTTCCATTTCTAGCTGGTTTTTGTAGCCTCTCTTTTTTGTGTATTTATTTTGTATTCAGCCACTGTAACAAATTCCTTTATTAATTAGGAAAAATTTTTTAAATGAGAATTTCTTTATTTTCTAGGTTATTTGTGTCCTTATTTTCCAATATTTATAGCAGTTTTTTATTGCCCCATCTTACTGAATTTGCTAGAGCTTGCAGAATAATTTTTACTAGCAATGGTGACAGTCGACATCATTATTCATTTTCTGATTTCAATGTGAATGGCTTTAGAGCCATTTAGAATGATGTTTTTGGACAGGCATGGTGGCTCATGCCTGTAATCCTAGCACTCTGGGAGGCTGAGGCCAGCGGATCATTTGAGCTCAGGAGTTCCAGACCAGCCTGAGCAACAGCAAGACCCCGTCTCTACTAAAAAAATATAAAGAAATTAGCTGGACAACTAAAAAATATATAT